AACAGAATATTGTACTAGGGACATACAGTAGGCCGACATTCATTTTGGTCTTTACACAGTGAGGTATGTTTCACTTTAAAATAAACTTAAGTAACATTTTGAGTATCTAACTATCAGAAATGTGTTTTCACACGTGTAATTTCTCTGGCTTTCGAGCTCAGCATAGTTGAACGCTTGGTAGCCATAACAATGCCCTGCTGGAGGGGAGAGAATGATAAATGATTTTGTGACCTCGTACAGAGGGGGTTTGGGAAACTAAGCGCCTAACTTTTAATATATTCACAGGAGGAAGCGTTTTTATTCCCTGTAGGTTCTAACCTCTGTTTTGACACAAAATAATGAGTATGGAAACAGCTTCCCTCTGGTGGGGATTGATCACCCCCGCCAGCAGAGCATCTCACCACCAGCACCACACCGGAAAACTGGAAGTTGACCTCTGCATTGGTGGGTCTGTTGGCATTGGGTGATGTTTAAATGTAATAATGTGATGTTGATATCTCTAAAGAAGTGGGTTGTTGTTGTTTTGTTTTTATACACATCTCACTGGGTTTGTTCTGCTGTATTTTCCAGTTCTCTCTCAGGTTTGTTGCTGTAACTGCACTGTGGGATTTCCAACTTGTAATTAAGTACTGTATGTCAACTTAAAAAGTGGCTCCATTACAAGTGTTTTGTTATTTTCTTTGACATTTGTGTTTAACATTTGTATGGAGAATATTGGTAAATATTAGTCATACAGGGATTACTTGGTCTTGAATTCTGGAATCAGCAATGTCCTAAACTGTGTTCAGGTCTTCTTTCATTGTGATAAGAACCCCAGATGGTACATTTGATGCATCAGATGAATTTGACCAGATCAGTGTGAGACCACACCCCCTCTAACTGGCTGAAGATATGGCATCCCCTACATCCCGGTCCCTCACAGCTGCTAGCCTGAGCCTGCACCAAGCAACCTGGATACAGCATCTGAGCTATTGACTTCCACTGAAGTCGAATTTTCACTTGGTGTCCCATTGACATCAATGCATGACTAAGTGAAAAATCTACTTAACAGTTATTATTCACCACTATGTTTCTAGTGATGAACTATTACCATGATCTGTGTTTTTCCAGGCATTACTTATGACACTGAAATTACCTGGGAACAGTTTGTATTATACAGTTTGTTACTTTCAGACAGAGGAGCTAATATTAGAGACAGACGACTAGCGAAAATTATGGTAGAGTTTGTTGACAAAAACAAGGTTAAATTCCTGGCCACCTCAAGACACCCTCGTGTCGACCGCACCTCCTGCAGCCGCTCACATAAAACGCTATTTTTACGTCTCACTTTTTTTATGACAGGAAACGCCTACAAAACCGTCCCTGCTCCTCCTCTCCATCGCCCCCCTCTGTCTGGGGAAGGAACTACACTGACTGAGATCACACTTTGGGCACTATTCAATCCAAATGGGTATCCAGTTTTCCATGGTAAAACAACAACAACAACAACATTATTCCTAAACTAAGAAAAAGAGAGTTTGTATGTGGTGGTAAATAGAAACTGTTTACTTACAACTTTCAACAGTTGAGTTTCTGTCTGTTCCACATGCTTTAGATGCCGTTGCAATTTTGAGTCTGCTACACAATAAGGATCCAGCCAACTTGACACAACTGTGGGAAGCATTGGAGTCAACATGGGCCAGCATCCCTGTGGAACACTTTCGACACCTTGTAGAGTCCAAGCCCAGACGAATTGAGGCTGTTCTGAGGGCAAAAGGGGGTGGTGCAACTCAATATTAGGAAGGTGTTCCTAATGTTTTGTACACTCAGTGTATGTAAACTGTATTCACAAAAACAGCCAAGCCCTCAAGTGCTTTCAAATGGCACATATATTCATTGCTGTTGAAAATGTCCAGTTACAAACAATTCATAGATGGAGACAGGATCTGTCCCAAATGGCACCCTATTCCCTATATAGTGCACAACTTTTGACCAGAGCCCAGTGGGACTTGTAGTGCACTACATAGAGAATAGGACGCCATTGTAATTGGAACAACAACTACTTATTGTTCGAATTAATTAATGTTTTCTTTAAACATTTGGAAACAAAATGTAGTTTACTTGTCAATAATCCTTTGATTGAAATCCAACCCCGTCGGTCTTGCCCCAAAGTTGCGCACCCATCGGTTTTGTTGGTCACAACCCACCCGTCTATACTGTACATATGTATATATGTCTGTGATGCTTGTTGAGTAGGCTAATAGAGACCTAACATAATATTGTGCCAGGGACATACAGTAGGCTAATAGAGACCTAACAGAATATTGTGCCAGGGACATACAGTAGGCTAATAGAGACCTAACATAATATTGTGCCAGGGACATACAGTAGGCTAATAGAGACCTAACATAACATTGTGCCAGGGACATACAGTAGGCTAATAGAGACCTAACATAATATTGTGCCTGGGACATACAGTAGGCTAATAGAGACCTAACATAATATTGTACTAGGGACATACAGTAGGCTAATAGAGACCTAACAGAATATTGTGCTAGGGACATACAGTAGGCTAATAGAGACCTAACAGAATATTGTGCTAGGGACATACAGTAGGCTAATAGAGACCTAACAGAATATTGTGCCAGGGACATACAGTAGGCTAATAGAGACCTAACATAATATTGTGCTAGGGACATACAGTACGCTAATAGAGACCTAACAGAATATTGTACTAGGGACATACAGTAGGCCGACATTCATTTTGGTCTTTACACAGTGAGGTATGTTTCACTTTAAAATAAACTTAAGTAACATTTTGAGTATCTAACTATCAGAAATGTGTTTTCACACGTGTAATTTCTCTGGCTTTCGAGCTCAGCATAGTTGAACGCTTGGTAGCCATAACAACGCCCTGCTGGAGGGGAGAGAATGATAAATGATTTTGTGACCTCGTACAGAGGGGGTTTGGGAAACTAAGCGCCTAACTTTTAATATATTCACAGGAGGACGCGTTTTTATTCCCTGTAGGTTCTAACCTCTGTTTTGACACAAAATAATGAGTATGGAAACAGCTTCCCTCTGGTGGGGATTGATCACCCCCGCCAGCAGAGCATCTCACCACCAGCACCACACCGGAAAACTGGAAGTTGACCCCTGCATTGGTGGGTCTGTTGGCATTGGGTGATGTTTAAATGTAATAATGTGATGTTGATATCTCTAAAGAAGTGGGTTGTTGTTGTTTTGTTTTTATACACATCTCACTGGGTTTGTTCTGCTGTATTTTCCAGTTCTCTCTCAGGTTTGTTGCTGTAACTGCACTGTGGGATTTCCAACTTGTAATTAAGTACTGTATGTCAACTTAAAAAGTGGCTCCATCACAAGTGTTTTGTTATTTTCTTTGACATTTGTGTTTAACATTTGTATGGAGAATATTGGTAAATATTAGTCATACAGGGATTACTTGGTCTTGAATTCTGGAATCAGCAATGTCCTAAACTGTGTTCAGGTCTTCTTTCATTGTGATAAGAACCCCAGATGGTACATTTGATGCATCAGATGAATTTGACCAGATCAGTGTGAGACCACACCCCCTCTAACTGGCTGAAGATATGGCATCCCCTACATCCCGGTCCCTCACAGCTGCTAGCCTGAGCCTGCACCAAGCAACCTGGATACAGCATCTGAGCTATTGACTGCCCTTCTTGCAGGAGTGCTGCATGTGTCCTGAGACTTAGCACGTGGAGCAGGCATGAAGGGATCTTATCTAAACTTCTCTCATGCTGTTGGTACCTGGGCAAAAACGGACGAGGCAGAATGGAGAGCAAAGGATGGTTGCTGAAGCTCAGGTTGTCTGGGTAGGGAAATCAGACTTCCCCTGGACATTGATATCGGGACATCACAAGGGCCACTCTGACAGCCATACATTTAATTTGTGCTGTTGTGAGTTCTGAACTGCAAACTAACGGAATAAGAATTGAAGAGATGCTTGGTTGAATACCGGGAGGGAGGTGGGAGTCAACCCAGCCTGTAATTGATTTGGAATTGACAAAATTGTTTATTTGGAATGGCAGGTTGATTGTGGGTGTTCACACCTTGAAATGTGTAGTAAAGCTACATTTGAAAATGCATCGAGATACTTGGTCATTTGCAAGCCACTTTTGGTGGGTATGTCGAATGATTAAAACGGGAGACTGTAATTTAAGATGCATAAAGCTCATTTTCAGCATATTCAGTTAAAGGGATACTTCGGGAGTTTGGCAATGAGGCCCTTTATCTACTTCCCCAGAGTCAGATGGACTTGTGGATACCAAATGTATGTCTCTGTGTCCAGTATGAAGAAAGTTAGAGGTACTTCTGCTATCCAATGCTAACTAGTGTTAGCGCAATGACTGGAAGTCTATGGGTATCTGCATGCTAGTCTATGGGTATCTGCATGCTAGCAGATACCCATAGGCTTCCAGTTATTGAGCTAACTCTAGTTAGCAATTAACTCAATGCTTAGCATATTTTTTTTCCCCTTTGTGTAATACACATGATTTCCAGTGTTCTATTTGGGACACTCATTTGTGTACGGGTTGATGGTCACTAGACTTGATACTGAATGTTATGGATTGTTCTCATATCTGTTGATAGTGGCTGACACCAGACTGGAGGTACAATGACAGAGGACACCGATTGTTATTGTATTCTGTGACACTGTGATTCTGTAGCAGCTGATGTTGTGACTTCCTACAAGGTTCTCGGCAGGTGTTTACAGAACATTGGTGCTGTGACATTAGAATATAAGGGCCTGCTTATGTAAAGGATCACTGCTTCCTCCTAATTCAGCTGGAAACCCCAGGATCCCTGCTTTGCTAGCACACGTGACCGCCCTTCTGAAGCGTCTTAGGGGGGACACTTCAGGCTGAGGAGTAAGTCTCACACATCCCCATGTGCTACATTCATCCCTCAAACATATTCAACACACACACACTTAGAGAAAGCGAGTTAGACATTTTTTCTCTGCTTCTGTGCTGGAGGTGTCTCCCTGTTGCAACCTATATTAAACCAGATTGATTTTGATTGACTTCATCTGCGACTGCTCTTCTCTTTTATTCACCTTGAAAATCCCTATTACAGACATTTAGGATGAAGTGAGGAATAGTCACTGCTGGCATGAGCTGTTTCTGATCTAAACAGCATGATTGGCCACGAAAACTAACCAGGAGCAGTAATCGTCTTGACACCACTGAATATAAAACAACCTACAAGCAGTACTTGTCCTAACAGCTCCGCATACAAGAGAACAAATCATGTCTGACTTTCTCACACCAACGATTGGATGAACTGTGTCATCTTGAGGAACTGAGTTGGTCTACTGTTCAACAACCAGAGATGGGGTCAGGGTCGGAGCCCTCGAGACAAGTGCGACGCAGCCCTCATCTTTGGCTCTATAGTATAGTTGGCAGTGCCAGAGTTAGGACAGAGTTCATGGATGGTTCTATGTTCTCTTGGCAGGTTTGGCAATCAGCTGCCTCTCTCTCTCCAGCTCCTTCTCTCTCTGTTGTTCTTTCTCCATAGCCTCCTTCTCTCTCTGCTGCTGGAGCTTCAACGCTCTTTTCTGGAGACAGAGAGACAAATTCAACGTGTTTTAAAACAACTTTTCATCACGGTTTCCCATTCAAGTCAATGTCAGTAAGTTCAAATTTAAGTTTACATTTAAAACAACTATTTCTTATCAACTGCTACCATAGAAGAGGAGAGGAGAGAATGAATGGAGGAGGTGGAGGAGGAGAAAGAGGAGGAGAGGAGAGAATGAATGGAGGAGGTGGAGGAGGAGAAAGAGGAGGAGAGGAGAGAATGAATGGAGGAGGAGGAGAGGAGAAGAAACTATGTGGTGAGCAATAGCTAAGCAACAATAGTCCATTCTGGGGGGAAAATAAACATTCACCCACCTTTAGTTTAGTTGTCTTCTCGTGCAGCATGATCATGTCTTTACGTATGTTCACCAGTTTACCGTGATACAACTTGGCCTCTGTGAACTGAAACAAACAGTACCGGTTTCAAACATACATCATTCCTACAGGGAGCAGGAGGGGTGGACAATGAAAGTATTCTCTTCAGATGCTGTGTATGTTTGAAACAACAGACAGACAGACAGAAACAGGCAGAGCGACAGACACAGACAGCCAGCCAGACAGTCAAATGTACCATTGAGTTTAGATCCAGTAGGGAGTTGCACTCTCTGAATTTGGTGACTTCTTGGTCCAGTGTGTCCAGCAGGATGACTTGGTTTTGACTGGTCAAGAGGAAAGGAGAGGAACATAAGAGCTACAACCACATGACAGTCACACACCACAACACCTGTAACATGGACAGAGGAAACTAACTATCTTGTCAAGTAGAATCTAATTCAGACGTGATCAGTGAATTATCATTATCCTCCTAATAAAATGAAAGATGAAACTGGACTAGAGAAAACAACAAGTGCATCCCAAATGGCAGCCTATTCCCTTCATATTGCACTACTTTCGTCCAGAGCCCTATGGGCCCTGGTCAAAAAGTAGTGCACTACATAGAGAATAGGGTGCCGTTTGGGACGTACCCCAAGTGTTTGTTTTAATGTCTGATGTGACTTGAATACTAACTTGAGTTCCAACAGAGCCTGTTTGGAGCTGTAAAGGTCAGGCAGGTAGTGAGAGAGCAGGCCTTCTGTCAGTTTCTCTATGGCCTTTCTGTCCACTACAATGGGCTCTTCAACAAGGACTGATTTCTCTGCAGGCTGGGAGTCCTCTGTAGGGCGAAAGTCCTGGAGAGTCAGGCTGAGATCTAAGGGGCAATAACAAACACTTTGTCAATTCTAGCCAGTCACATGTAGAAAGACCAGTCCCACTCCCTTCAGTTTGACCTCATGTCAGGGTAGGTACATAGCCCTAGACTTTTTGGGGCTTTTTTGGGACAGGTCTCGGAGGTGAAAAATATGTCGATGTGCCCTTGAGCAAGGCACTTAACCATAATTGCTCCAGGGCCGCCGTTGATAATGGCAGACCCTGACCGTGACCCCACTCTCTGAGGGTGCATCAGGGAGAGGGGGATATGCAAAGAACACATTTCCAATTCAAAAAGGTCACACCACATTTTTTAATCATTATAATAAACATATTTTGACCAAAAACTAGTGCAAAGCCTGCCAGTGGAAAAGCACCTGAAGTGACTGATTCACACTACAGGGCAGACACAAACCGTACTGTCCTGGCACCAATATTTTATTTTCACGTCTTGTCCAGCATGGTTCCAGCAACTATGGTGAATATGTAACCAGGCCAGCCCAGGGCCTGGCATAAGGGCCTGATTCAGAGTTGAGATAAGCATGTGTAACTCATGACTAGTTACCGTAGCTACCAGTGTTCTGAGGAGGGTCACGTTGAGATGAGGAACCCTCATCTGCCTTCCCCTCTGTCTCCATGTGGGACGTCACTGTCTGATTCTACAGCCTAGAGAAAGCAAGCAGAGATGTTTTTCAGCAGCGGTGGTGTGGCCAATGGCCCTCCTCTTGGCCGTAGAGACAAAATGTTGCTGTTTTAAAGTAACTGCCCAGTGTTTCCAGATTTCCATGAAATATGACCTATAATTACTTACAATATGAGTGAAATAGTTTTCCTTCTAAAATGTTTTAATTAAGTATGCAAAGAACACATTTCCAATTCAAAAAGGTAAAATAGAAGCACAGTCGCTCTGGATAAGAGCATCTGCTAAATGACTAAAATGTAAATGTATGTTAAAAAGCAGCTTTTCTGTGTTGGAATGGTGTGGGCGTATACTGGTTATTAAAAATGTTTATGCAAGTGAACTGCTGATTGTCCAGCTCATCCTCCTCTAGACCACTGATTGGCCAGCTCATCCTCCACTAGACCACTGATTGGCCAGCTCATCCTCCTGAGGAGTATTACATCACACTATCACGAAATAGCAAGCTTTTTTTTTTTTGTTTGAGGTGGGGTTTTTGAAGTGTTTTTATTTTATGCTTTGGCCACAAATACAAATATAGGCTGAGTCAACAACATTATTTGGGTATGAGTTAACAGAATATGAACTGTTAAAAGGTAACTTCTTTTTTTAAATCATATTTTTTGGAGTAGCGGCTCGCAGATGCTAAATGAATATAGGGGAAACACTGGAGATGTTAGACACTTGGACACTTGAACCTTCTGAGGGGTTGCAAACCCACTTCCTCTTGGAGAAGTGTGCAGACTTTTATTCCAGCCCTGCTCTAAAACACCTGATTCAGCTGATCAAAGGTGATTAGTAGAATCAGGTGTGTTACAGTAGGGCTGGAGCAAATGCCTGAAAACCCTGTAGCTTTTCAGGGGAGGATTGGCAAGCACTGGCTGAATGTCCTTAGTAAGTGAATGCCTGACTCAGACAACACAACCAGGTATCAATAAAATAGATAAAATAGTAACTAGCTAGTTGGATAGCAGCACTAGGGGAGTGCTATGGTGCCTGGCTTTGCTAGCTTTCTACTAAACATAGCTAGCTATGCCATTCCGAATAAATCTAGAAATGCTGTCCACTCTACAGTTAGCTAAGGCAGCAAAACACATATTCAAGTCATTCCAAATGGAGGCAATCATGTTATATTGTAAAATATACAGATGATTTTGAACACTTTACCTTTTGAAATGAGCTCTCCATCAAGAACCGCAACGTCTGGAAAACATCATGTGACGGCGTCACTCATGTGACTGTTTGGACTTCCTCTTTGAACCAAGCTAGTAGCTTGACTACTCAAACTATTAACGGTGCGATGTTACAGAAATGATTTTGAACAGAATCACAGCGAGGAAATATTTTCTTCTAGAAAAGGCTGACGATCGGTAATTTTAACGCTAATGTTGTAAGATAAATGTGATGTTTTCAGCTCAGTTAAAAACAGAAATCGAGTCTCCGAGCTAGCTTGGCTAACCAATCAAGCCTCCCATCTTCTGTCAATGGTGAATCGATTTGTAGGACTGATGAGTTGTTGCCAGACATTACTATTGTGTGTAGTTAACAAGATGTTGTTTTCAACGACAATTTATTTAATGACAAACAGGGAATTTGGATGCAGACAACTAGCAATCTGTTTTGATTGATTCAGCCGACTGTGGATGCATTGTTTGTGTGTGTTCGTGAATTGGAAGTGCTGTCATCCCCATTGAAGTTCCCCTCGAATCATCAGAATTCCCTGAAATGGAATGGTCATCGTTTTCAGTGCATGAACTATTGAATATGTAGGCTTCCTTAAATCAATGTCCACCTCGGAGTGTTCTGTTACACGGGTAGACGATCGATACATACTTACAAATGTCAACCTGTTGTGCAGTTAGCCATATTCATTTGTTTAAAAAATCCAGTATCTGTATTATACTGTACCGTTTTAACTGACACTGGGTGTGTCCTAAGTAACGTTAGGACGTTTTTTATTTATTTCTGGTAATGATTCATTTGTTCCATCCCACAGGTGTTTCAGGTGTGTCAACACAGAGATGTAACGTTACAGCCACAACCACTGATTCAATACTTTATAAGACGGTGACATTGGTGAGAAGCACACCAAGCTCGGACCGGCATCATTGAAAGTTAACGGCTCCTGACCTGTCAACAACTGGTGTTAACGATGTCAGGTGGTGCGAGCTTCATGAGCAAGGTGCGGTCTGCCTTTAGGAAGGAGCCAGAGAACTGGGACCTGAGCGACACCGCACCCTTTGACCTCTCCGGTGACGAACTCGTGGAGGATGAAGCGCCCAAATTCAACAAACTCAAAGTGGTGGTTTCCGGTGAGATGGAGGACTACGCAGCCGGGGCATCGTCGAACGGCGTCGCGGTGAACACAGTGGTGGTGGACGATGACGACTCGCTGCTCGACTCGTCCTCAGGGAGCTTGGGGAGCCCCAGTGTCAACATGGACCGGTTGCAGTGTGAGAGCTGCACGAGGAAGAGAGAGGGGGTTAAACGGAGGAGAGTGATGAAGAAGTTGGTGTGCGCCTCTGTGTTGTATTTCCTCTTCATGATTGGAGAACTGATAGGTGAGCAGACAAGACACACACTACACTAGTCTGTTGCAGTACTGACTACAGACTCTCATTATACACTGCTAGTACTGTGATGTTAAAGCTGTGGCCTTCAAGTTCCAATCAAATCAATTTAGTATGATGTTTGGAGCATTGACTTCCAAGTTCCAATCTGAAGTAGCCTGAGTAGACCTACTCACTATCGCTGGTCCTGGAGAGGTACTGAGTGTGCACTGCAAGCCCAGCACTAGAGCACACCTGATCTCACTAACCAACTAATCATCAACACCTTTTATTAGGTGAATTAAGAGTGTTGGTGATGGGCTGGAACTAAAGTCTGCACAGTGCACTCCCTGTAGCTCTCCAGGACCAGGGCTGGGGACAGCTGTAGACTGTACTCAGTAGTTGCTTTTCAGATCCTAAATCTCCCACATCAACATTGTGATTGGATCTGTAATCTTAGTCGGTCATACCTGTCCCACCTCATACCTGGCCCCAGGTGAAGAGTTGAGGAATGTTCAACACATGGTGGTATTAGCATACATGTACCTGTACAATCACCTGCTGGCGTAACAATACACACATATACCTGTGATGAGAAACGTAATGTGTGCTTGATCATGTTCTGAGAAATACCAGTATTGATTTAACTAACAGCTAGCTCTGTATCTGTGTGTCTGTAGGTGGAAATGTAGCTAACAGCTATCTGTGTAGGTTATAATGTAGGTCAGGGATAGGCAACTTTGATGGGGGTGGGGGCCACAAAATCTGAAGTCATCATGAGAGGCCGCAGTGGCTCGCGGGTCTGCGTACCAACATCCATCCATACCCACACATGCAGTCGGAGCCGGCCCTAGCCTTTTGGGGGCCCTAAGTTAAATTCTGTTGGTGATATTCTATTACGATCACGTATTTAATGTCTATCTGTGTGTCTCTAGGTGGTTATGTAGCTAACAGTCTGGCCATAATGACTGATGCTCTCCACATGTTAACTGACCTGATTGGGATAGTGGTATCTCTACTGGCGTTGTGGCTGTCTGCTAAACCACCCACCAACAGATTCACCTTCGGACTGCATCGCCTGGGTACGTTACTGTTACTGCTCTCCTCTTGTTCCAGAAAGATCCACTTTCTAGATCTGTCATATTTTGGAGATGGAAAGTGTGAGGTCAGCAGTGTTCTGATCCTGTATCTCACGTTTCTCTCCTCAGACTGTGTAAGGAAAGTGACCTTGTGATTGAAAAGCTCAGAGAGGTTTCTGCTGTTTTAGAGCCTCCTGTTTAATAGATGCAGACAGTAAACTGTTACCATATTACATTCAGCTGTCCAGTATAAACGTTTGGGTACATTATTTGCTATAGTCTAATCTGTCTCTCTCCCCCCCCCCCCCATAGAGGTGGTCTCAGCCGGTATCAGTGTGTTACTCATTTACATCCTAACGGGGGTGTTGTTGAACGAGGCGGTGCAGAGAACTGTCAGTCAGGACTTTGATATCAACGGAGATGCCATGCTCATCACTGCAGCTGTGGGGGTCGCTGTCAACCTAGTGTGAGTAGCTGAGTACACACAACTGCATGCACACACAGACGGAGAGAGCAGTCATTTTGCACCCGACAGTGGGGAGGTGAGGAGGGAGGGATTCCTGATTCCAGTTAGAGTGAATGAATGATAAAGCTTTATGACATGTATGATGATATGTCATAAACTACTGCAGTCCAAAGGTCCACTCCTCTCCACTTCGCACTACAAAATGACTTTGCAATTGTGTGACTCAGTTGGTTAGAGCCTGGCGTGTAGTGTTGTTGTTGATGATAAGTGGCGTGTGTAGAGTGTTGTTGATAAGCGTGGCGTGTGGAAAATGTGTTGATAAGCGTGGCGTGTGGAAAATGTGTTGATAAGCGTGGTGTAACGGTTTTGACTTGAGGTATTTATAGGGGTGCCAGGTAGGTTGTGCCTACCAGAGAAAGCATGGGTTTCTCCTTTTAGTTCGGGAGGGAATGAGTCCCCTCTGGTCCGTCAAGTCACACCAATACAAAGGACTTAGGTAAAAGTCAAGATGGAAATATACTTTTCATAAACCCCTTAAAACCTTGGAAAGAACTTCAAACAAGTGTATTCTTTTGCTTGGTTGTATTCACAACATAAATGATCACCCCCACCCACACACAACAATATAACAAATCAATGCACTTATCTTCATTTAGAAATGTCCTGTACCTCGGGCATAAAAAGAGTCCAGCCCGGTAAATAAGTTCCGTGGCTCAAGTGCCCTTAGTCCCGCAACGCTTGTCCGTAGCATAAACCCAGTATATTCATACACTCAAAATAACACTTATTTTGTAACACAACTATAAAGCGTATCAAAGACTACCCAAAGAATAATACGTCCTCACAACTACATAAATCACAGTATACATCACCCCAAACAAATGAAATACCGTATACAAAAAGTTGTAGTCAGTCGGTCAGTCAGACAATCCGTCAACAGCCCTCCAGCGGAGGAAAGGCCACGAAAACCAACGGAGAGTTGTAATCCACAGACGCACAGAGTGGATCCAATCCTGGGTAAGCTCGCTTTAAGGCCACAAAACACACTGTAAGGCCACAAAACAACGTAATGGCGAAGCTTCATGAACTGAAGGTAGTACACATCCTCATTCAGGTCTCAATCACCACTTTCCTTTTGCGCAGCTGATGCTGGCTATTTAATGGGGAATTAAAGGGGAAGCGCCCTATTAGAAGGAGAAGCCTTGAGACGGTTCAGAAATATTCAGGGCCGTCACACACCCCCTCCCCTGGAAAAAGCCGACCATTGCCCGGGAAGGCAGATCTTGGTCGGGGAAACCGAGAAAGGTCTCCTCATCACTTTCCTCTACAAAAATATTCATTACTTTTTGGCGCTCACGCTCCTCAGCTGAGGGGTCACAGGCATTAAGCCGTGAGACTTCTGGGTCTGGGAATCCGAGAAAAGTCTCCTTACTTTCCTCTTCAAAGATCTCCAGGACCTTGCGGCGCTCAATCTCCTCCAATTCCTCAGCCGAGGGGTAACAGGCCTTAAGGCGTGAGACATGGACAACGCGCATATCTTCACCTGTGTCCTCTTTCACCACTCGGTAGTTCAAAGGGCCCACCTGCTCCACAATCCTATATGGTCCTTGCCATTTAGGAGCGAGCTTGGCCGAGAAGAATTGTTCAGCTTTCGAGTAAGGATGAGAGCGAAGCCACACCCGATCACGAAGCTGGAACTGCTGGTCTCGTCTGTTCTTATCATAATTTTTCTTCTGCTTGAGTCGAGCCTGGATCATGTTCCTTGAGACAAGAGCTCTCAAGTCGTGGAGATGGACTACCTGGTCATAGCAAGCCGCGTCTGGAGTAAGCTGCTGGGGCTGTAGCACCATATCCAAGGGTCCTCGGAGGAGACGACTTAGGTTCAGCTCTGCAGGTGTGACTCCAGTGGACTCTTGCACAGCAGAATTCAGGGCAAATCGAAACTCGTGAAGGTGCTTGTCCCAGTGTTTGTGCTGGGTCCCTACATAGGAAGCAACCATGGTCTTCAAGGTTCGATTTACTCTCTCAGTGAGGTTGGTCTGTGGGTGATAGGCTGTGGTCAACTTCTGTCTCAGGTTCCATCTTTGGCAGGTCTCTCCAAAGAGATCAGAGACAAATTGGGAACCTCGATCAGACAGAATGTAATCAGGCACTCCCCAGCGAGTCAGGATCTCTCTCGTAAGGATGTTAGAGACGGTCCTCGCTGTGGCCTGACGCAGGGCAAAGAGCTCAACCCACTTGGAATAGTAATCAACAAAAACAAGCATGTACACATTCTGATTGGAGCTTCTAGGAAATGGACCCATCAAATCCACTCCTAACATTTCCCAAGGTCGGGTAACCACAGTTTGCTGCAACTTGCCAGCAGGTTTTCTACCTTCCGGTTTGTACATTTGACAAACCTGACATTTTCGGATATGTGATTTCACATCCATGCTCAGATGTGGCCAGTACAGTAATGCTTGCAAACGTTTGTAGGTTTTGAACCTGCCCAAATGACCAGCTAATGGGTCTTCATGGAAATGTTGAAGCAGTTGAAGGCGTAGAGTTTCAGGTATGTACATTTGGTAGAGTGTTCTGTGAGGTAGTTGTACAACTCGGTAGACTTTGTCTTCAATGATGGTCAGCTTTGTGGTAGGGTTGACCATCTTTTCTTCATCTTCCAGGATAGTCTGGTACAAAGCCTGTACTTCGGGATCGTCCTGTTGGGCTTTCCAAATGACCTCATCAGAGATGGGCAAGTCAGTTTTGGGTGAGTCTCGACTGCTAGACAGGACAGTAGCACATGTAAGATGAGGGCCACCATTACCACAAGCAGGAGCTCTGGATAAGGCATCTGGAACAGTGTTGTATTTTCCTTTCCTGTATTCTACGGCAAAGGTGAACTCTTGCAACCGTAGAGCCCATCTGATGAGCCTGGTGCTTGGTTTGTTGGTCTTGAACACCCACACAAGGGAGGAATGGTCAGTGACCACAGTGAAGTGTCTTCCCTCCAGGTAGTACCTCCACTTTTCCAAAGCCCAGACAACTGCAAGGCACTCTTGCTCGGTTGTGGAGTAGTTCCGTTCTGCTCCATTCAATGTCCGACTGGCGAACGCTAGCACTTCTTCAGTACCAAGTCCAGTCTGTTGGACTAGGACAGCACCAAGTCCAACATCACTTGCATCAGTGTAAACAACAAAAGGGAAATCAAAGTTGGGATGACCCAAAATGGGAGGGGTGACGAGGTGTCGTTTCAGGGTTTCAAAGGAGTTCTGGCACTCTGCCGTCCATCGGAATTTCGCTCCTTTTCGCTTCAACCCGTTGAGGGGTTCTGCCACCTGGGAGAAGTTCCACACAAACCGATGGTACCATCCAGCCATCCCAAGGAACCGTTGAAGGGCCTTGAGTGTGGTTGGCACAGGGAAGTCTTGTACAGCCTTGGTCTTTTCAGGATCCACATGAATACCATCACAAGACACAATATGGCCAAGGAACTTCAGGGAGGTTTGGCAGAAGTTGCTCTTCTTCATGTTCACTGTCAGACCAGCTTCTCTTAGCTTGTCCAACACTGCTTGAAGGTCTTGAAAGTGTTGCTCTCTGTTCTGGGAGTAGATAATTATATCGTCCAGGTAGACGAAACATATCTTCCCTTTGAGCCCACCTAACGCAATCTCCATGAGTCTTTGGAAAGTGGCAGGTGCATTCTTTAATCCAAAAGGCATCACCTTAAAGGAAAACAAGCCCTCAGCACAGACAAAAGCAGTCTTGTCCTTGCTTTCCTGGTCCATCTCAACCTGCCAATAGCCACTATTGAGGTCAAGGGTAGTGAACACAACCGCGCCAGACAATGACTCCAGGATCTCGTGGATGGTGGGAAGAGGATAGGCATCAGTCTGGGAAACATTGTTGGTCTTCCTATAGTCCACACAAAATCTAAGACCACCGGTCTTTTTTGGAATGAGGACAACAGGAGCAGCCCAGGGAGAGGAGGAACGTTCTATTATATCTTGTGTCAACATATCATTAATGAGTCCCTTTTGGATGATTAGCTTCGCTGGGGACAAACGATATGGCTTTTGCTTGATCGGCATTTCCTGTGTAAGGAATATTTTGTGCTTCAGGAGTCCGGTGCGTCCTAACTTTGAAGTACACACATCGGCATTATTCTGCAACTGTTCCAACAGCCTTAACTCCTCTGGCTGTTCCAGCTGAGCTCTTCTTACAGCCTGTAAAAGGAGATCCTCAGAAGGATTATCCAGTGTTAGTGGTACCGTAGCAACGGCAGAGAAGACTGCCACATTTAGACCCCAATCATGTAACTTTGTAACTTCTGATTGGAAGAAATGCTTCTTGCTCGGATTGTTTGGAAACCAGTAGCAATTGTGTGCGATATCAATCTGGACACCACTGAAGTACATGAAATCAATTCCCAACACGACAGGAAAAGCAAGGTTCTTGGTTTGCAGGATAACCGAAGGAATCATATAGGAGCGGTTACACAGGCGGAACTCCACCTCACTCCATCCAAGTGGTCGTTTAGCCTCACCGTCAGCCAGATACAGTGGACCTTCTGTCCACGGCTTCAAATTGTATTTTGGACCTTCAACCTCCTTCCACAGTTTCTCATTGAGCAGTGTGTAGGATGACCCGGTGTCCAGGATGGCTCTTCCTGTCCATGGGCCTATGGACAGGGGTAACACCAGCTGGTGTGGTATTAACTGAAAGGAAGGGGATGTCGGCGGGGGGGCGTAGGCAGTGACTCTTGAGGTTTCAGCTCTGGTCAAAGCACCCAGAGTAGGATGGTCGTTCCTGCGAAGTGTGTTAGGGGTGTTGGCCTGTTGTGATTTGTAGTTTCTGGAAGGGTTTACTGGATACGGTCTTGGACATGTAGCTGAAGAATGTCCCTTTTGGCTACATCTCCAACAGAACATGGGAGGGGTCTTGGCTGGAGACTCTGGCTGTGGTTGATGATCTGGCTTGGGTAACTGTCTGGGTGTCTGTTTCTTTCTCTGTTCATATTGCTGTTGGCATTCTCTGTCCTTCTCGAACTGCTGTCCCAGGCGAACCAGTCCATCGACAGTGGTGACTCTTTCTCTGAGTTGACTGGCTAGTAGTGGGTTGATGTTCTTCAAGATCAACTTAATGACCTCTTCCTCCTCAATGCCAGGTTTCCACCTTCTGCACAGGGAGTGGTAACCGTATGCAAAGTCACGGATATTCTCATTCTCCCTTTGCACTCGATTCCTGACTCTGTCTGCCAGCTCATCTGTGTAGTCCTCAGACAGAAATGCAGAGGAAAACTTGGCCTCAAAGTCAGCCCAGGAGGTAGTGGTGAGACGTGCCACATCCCACCAGTCTCGAGCTGTCCCATGCAACACATTCCTCAATGTGGCAAGGAGTTCTTCGTCAGCCAGGGGATTGAGGGCAAGAAAGTCATGACATCTTTCCAGATACATTAGCGGATCAGGACTGTCATCCTTTTTCCCAAAGGTGGGAAATTGCAATTTAATGGGCATCGCTCCCACATGACGTCTACTCAAATCACCATGAACAAAAGAGCTAGGAGGGATTGAGGAAGTAGAGGGTGAGGGAGTTATGGGACCATGAAAATGAACACCAGGATGCATGGTGGATTGCATCCTGCAAGGGGTGGCTGCAGCATGGCCTTGTCTTGGCTGTTCTGAGGTGCCCGCTTGGCCCTCAGTGGTCTGAACAGAAGTGGACACAAGAGAAGCTCTGTGCAAGGAGTTGTGCCTAATGGAGGCCATGTCAACAGACACATCATCCAACATTTTAACACAATTAGAGAGTGCTGTCTGCAAGTGGTCTACAGTGTTAACCAGGGGAGAAAATACAGAATTGACGTCCTTGAGGACCTCAGTGTGATGATGTTGCAGGCGCCACTGGAGAGTGGCAGTGAGTTGGCTTTGTTGGTAGTCAAACTGCCTGTCCATGGCACCAGTAATTTCCTGTCTTCCACTCTCACTGAGCTCTGTCAGAGTGTGAGTTAGAGTACTCAGTGAGTTTCTGAATTCCATGGCACTCTGTTGTTGCTCTACACTCAGACATTTGAATTTATGATGGATTAGAGTTTGGAGATGTTGTTGAGTCTTACGAATATCAAGGATGTCACCTTGAAGTTGTAAGACTACAACCTCTGGAGATAAACCAGACAATGGAGTAAGATTGGGCGTCAGAGGGAGGGCTAGCTCAGTACCTTCACACAGATCCATGTCAATAAGTGAGTTACTAGTTAGACCTGTGGCCTGTGGTCCAGACTGAGCATTTAGATTCCCAGGGCTCTGGCCCACATCAACTCCATTATTTCCATTCACATTATGATTTGTATTGTTGGCTCGGTAGTCAGAATGGCCCTGTGTATTCCCATTGACAGGTAGGCTATGGATGAGCACATTTTCTTGTAGTGAATCCATTATTTTAATTCCACTCAAAAGATTTGCTTTGGTTAGTTCTCAATGTTGAGGTCCCAGCTGGGGTGCCATTTTTTATGTAACGGTTTTGACTTGAGGTATTTATAGGGGTGCCAGGTAGGTTGTGCCTACCAGAGAAAGCATGGGTTTCTCCTTTTAGTTCGGGAGGGAATGAGTCCCCTCTGGTCCGTCAAGTCACACCAATACAAAGGACTTAGGTAAAAGTCAAGATGGAAATATACTTTTCATAAACCCCTTAAAACCTTGGAAAGAACTTCAAACAAGTGTATTCTTTTGCTTGGTTGTATTCACAACATAAATGATCACCCCCACCCACACACAACAATATAACAAATCAATGCACTTATCTTCATTTAGAAATGTCCTGTACCTCGGGCATAAAAAGAGTCCAGCCCGGTAAATAAGTTCCGTGGCTCAAGTGCCCTTAGTCCCGCAACGCTTGTCCGTAGCATAAACCCAGTATATTCATACACTCAAAATAACACTTATTTTGTAACACAACTATAAAGCGTATCAAAGACTACCCAAAGAATAATACGTCCTCACAACTACATAAATCACAGTATACATCACCCCAAACAAATGAAATACCGTATACAAAAAGTTGTAGTCAGTCGGTCAGTCAGACAATCCGTCAACAGCCCTCCAGCGGAGGAAAGGCCACGAAAACCAACGGAGAGTTGTAATCCACAGACGCACAGAGTGGATCCAATCCTGGGTAAGCTCGCTTTAAGGCCACAAAACACACTGTAAGGCCACAAAACAACGTAATGGCGAAGCTTCATGAACTGAAGGTAGTACACATCCTCATTCAGGTCTCAATCACCACTTTCCTTTTGCGCAGCTGATGCTGGCTATTTAATGGGGAATTAAAGGGGAAGCGCCCTATTAGAAGGAGAAGCCTTGAGACGGTTCAGAAATATTCAGGGCCGTCACAGTGGCGTGTGTAGAGTGTTGTTGATGATGGTAAGTGGCGTGTGTAGAGTGTTGTTGATGAGCGTGGCGTGTGTAAATTGTGTTGATGAGCGGGGCGTGTGTTGATGAGCGTGGCGTGTGTAGAGTGTTGTTGATGAGCGGGGCGTGTGTTGATGAGCGTGGCGTGTGTAGAGTGTTGTTGATGGTAAGTGCCGTGTGTAAATTGTGTTGATGAGCGTGGTGTGTGTAAAGTGTGTTGATGAGCGTGGCGTGTGTAAAGTGTGTTGATGAGCGTGGTGTGTGTGTAGAGTGTTGTTGATGATGGTAAGTGGCGTGTGGAAAGTGTGTTGATGAGTGTGGCGTGTGTAAAGTGTAGATGATTGATAGTGTAGTGAGTGTAGCCTCAATCATCTATAGTAATGATTAAACGTAGTAGTCCAAGATTAAACGGCCACAAGAAGTTAAAAGCAAACTGACAAACCTCTCTCTTATTTATTTCTATAGTATGGGTTTCCTCCTGAACCAGACCGGTAACGGTCACCTCCACTCCCACGGGGGTCATGGTCACTCCCACGGGGGTCCCCCTCCACCCTCACACGGCCATGGCCACAGCCACGGTGGCGCCCCAGCCCAGGGGCAGCAGGGTCCCCAGGGCAGCCTGGCGGTCAGGGCAGCCTTCATCCATGCACTGGGAGACCTGGTCCAGAGTATAGGGGTCCTCATCGCTGCCTACATCGTACGCTTCAAGGTAGGCTGGAACGTCAGACCTGGGAGCAGGAAGAGGGGTTAAAGATCCATTGATTTTGTAACTGTTGTTTTAATGTTGAAGGGATGAATGGGATAGTTTAAGGGCTTTCTGGGTCGGGCCAGGGTCGTGTTCATTAGCCCATGCAACAGAAAACGTTTTAAAACATTTTGCAATGGAAAACTCAATTTACCGTTTCTTATTCGGGTTTCCCAAACTCGGTCCTGGGGCCCCCCCCCCACGGGAGCACGTTTTGGCTTTGTACCTACGGTCCTGGGGCCCCCCCCCCCCTGGGTGCACATTTTGGTTTTTGCCCTAGCACTACACAACTGATTCAAATAATCAAAGCTTGATGGTGTTTATTTGAATCAGCTGTGTAGTGCTAGGGCAAAACACAAAACATGCACCCAGGGGGAGCCCCAGGATCGAGTTGGGGAAACCCTGCCTTATTGGACGAGTCCACATAGTTCCTTTCTGTTTGTCTGTTTCTTTCAGTTTGGTACCTAACAAACATGACCCAGCTGAGTTAGATTGACCTGATATCTAACCTTTGACCTTTGCCCCCCTAGCCAGAGTACAAGCTGGCGGACCCCATCTGTACCTACATCTTCTCTATCCTGGTGCTGTTCACTACGATACGCATCATACGAGACACGGGAGTCATCGTCCTCGAGGGTGAGAGAACGGCTACATGTATTACAGTTCATATATTAATTAGCCTATATGTGTACTGTATATGATTTAGATCAGTGGTTCTCAATCCTGGTCCTGGGGGCCTAAAGGGGTGCACATGTTTGTTTTTGCCCCCTAGCACTCACACACTTGATTCAACTAATGAACTCATCAAGCCTTTGATTTGCCAGGGCAAAAGCAAAAATGTGTACCCCTTTGGGTCCGCAGGACCAGGAATAGGAACCACTGATCTAGATCATACCATAATGTCCTGGAGGGACGGAGATAAGCTACATTATCATCATACTTCTGCTCACCAGACAGATCTACTGTGAGAGAGAGAGCTAAAACACAGTTTCAATTGCTTAATCTGGAGCTGTAAAAACGTCCCATAGTGTTTAAATAATAGTAGATTGTTCTCATGCTATGAATGGGACAAGTCTTTCGCTAGCAACGTACTGGACATGGCAACAAGACTGGCTAGAGAGACGAGCAAAACAATGTTAACGTTCTGAGTTTCATGAAACTTAGTGTGTTTTACTCAGTGGTGTAAAGTATTTAAGTAAAGATTCTTTAAAATACTACTTAAGTTGTTTTTTCAGGTATTTGTACCTTACTTTACTATTTATATTTTTGACTACGGTACTCAAGTAGACGTGTACTGGGTGACTTTTACTTGTACTTGAGTCATTTTCTATTAAGGTACATTTACTTTCACTCAAGTATGACAATTGGGTACTTTTTCTACTGTTAGGGGCACCCAGGCATGTGGACGTTCAGCGAATCAGAGAAGACCTTCTGAAGTTGGAGGACGTCCAATCAGTGGACGAGCTCAACGTGTGGGCGTTAACCGGCGACAAGACCACCGCCCTCGCACACCTGCAGCTTTGTGAGTGACCTTTGACATTCCTCTCCTTTGTTAGTTGTACACATGGTATGTGGAGTGCATTCTGTTGATAGGTTTAGGAACACTACACTCTGGTTGTATCTCAATTAGTCTTTCTGTGATTCTTCACATCCTATGTCCTCGAACCCTTCTCAGCTGTATTGGAGATGTTCTAAGGTCCTTCCCCCTCGGACCTAATTCTCCAATGAATTTTAACAAGGTGTCGAGAGAGGATGTGAGGAATCGAGGAAAGATAAATGAAGAAAGAGCCACTGTCCTAACCCGATTTCTGTTTGTATTGTGCTTCTAGCGCCCTCTAGTGCCAGTGCGTGGGAGGACGTGCAGGCCAAGGCCAGACACCTGTTGATACACACCTACGGCCTGACCAGGTGCACTGTGCAGGTCCAGACACACAGAAACAGGGCTACACACACCTGCACACGCTGCCGAGAGTCCACCGCATAGCCTGAAAAAATAAAACCACACAGAGTCTGAGGACGTTATACCAGATTGGTGTGAAAGCGTAGGGAACTGAACTGATCTATGCCATCGGCAGGATACTCGGACGGACATTCGGACGCACATTTATTTTTAAAGGACAGCTGATTCCTCCTGGGCTGTTAACCTGCCTGCAAAGTTTTCTGAAGAGGGGTTGAACGCATCTTAACCTTTCAACAAAAACAAAAAAAGACATATCTATAATAATCACCATTAAAGCCTGTAAATGTTAATAATTTAACATTATTCCTTTTGTTACTTTACTTATAATTGAACTGTGTTAATGTGTTTGTTTGTGAGAGCTGTATACTTTGACTGTATGTGTTTCATTGTTTCGAGTGGGGTGATAGCAGGGAATGAGTGTGTCTCTGTAGGTGAATCTCAATTCTATTTCCTTGATTCCTTCTCAAAACGCATCAGAGGAGATGGTCCTAGGGGAGGAACATCAGATTCAATACAATTAAGATTCACCCTGTCTGTCATATCCTCTCCTCACAAGGTAGAACCACTGGGATCTACTCTGACCTGTTAAGGACCAATCCTAACATGAGATATGCACCTGTATGTAAAGTCTGGCACGCCAATGCAACAACTTACACAGAAATACAAGTTAACTGTGTGATTTATCTGAAGTTAGTATTGGTCCTCTAGTGTAGCGGAGAGGCCTGTATCAGTGTTTGACAAGGTTGATGTGAGGCTGTCAGAAAATGTTACTAGCTGTCCAATCCTTTCTTCCTCTGTCCTTGTTTCTTTAACTCTTCTCAAAGCTAATTGGCAGAGAGGATCCAAGGTCCTACCCTCTGACGACCTCCTCCAATGAGCTTTGAGAGGAATTGAGGAAAAAAGGAGTGAGGAAGCTAGTAATGTTTTCAGGCACAGCCAGAGATGAGGCCCAGGCCGGCTCTAAAAGGTTAATCCATACATCTGATCGTGTTATTGATCATCTGATGATCGTGTCAATATTGCCTTTGCTAATGTTTGAAAATGGCTTCTCCTTCTTTGCTCATTGTGTTGAACCAATAGACAGAGAGAAGTGTTGTTTTTATATTAAAGGGTTATGTTTCTTTGACTTGTTTCTTTAAGTTAACTTCTTCTAGCTGAAAACAGTAAATGGACAATGAAAGTGACTTTGTGAATCATGTGTAATACTGTAGTAGGGTAATACATGACTACTGCCTCTAGTTAATTTCAGCCAGTTTTATTTAATTATCATCAGATTGATTGATTGAGCCTGTCAACATTTCAGATAGGCAGTATTATTCCATAAGCATTATGAGGGCTGTGAGATAATATGCCAATATTTATCATATGCATTCAAAGCCATATTTATTATGTGTGTATATAAATACATATGGGTTTGGCATCATCATGTCTTCAGGTCTTGGTTGGTTCCTTAATAACCACTAACTGTCCTAGTCCTCCTGTCCCAGCTTATCAACATGAGGTTGGTTGGAACTGACATGTATTTTCCTTTCTCTTAACTGCAAATCAGATCAGTATATGCATTACCAGCCTTGTGTTGCTCTTGTTTTGATGTTTATTTAATTTGGTCGATCATGTGTCAGGGTTGGCTCTCTACAGCAGCACTCACCAGTGTTTCTGTGATTTGCACATTCATTCCTTCAACCTGAACACTTCTTAAGGCTCTGCTCCAATATCCACTACGTAGAATGAAGTATGGTTACTTCCCAAATGGCATATCTTCTAAGTGGTAAACTAGTATGGGCATGAGAACCGAGCCTTCTATTCTCTTATCAGGATGCAGTATTGCCCGGTTGTTGATCACATGATCAGCTGTTTGTTTACGTGTGAATGATTCATGGTTATCAATCTTTAGTTAATTTATCACTAGACCGAGACCTGTCTCTGAGTCTCACTCACGCTTCCCTTTACTAAACTAACACAGTACGACTATCACTGTCTCAACTTAAAGATTTGTTGACTGGAAACATGTGAATGAAGAACCTGTTACATTTAGAAATAAATATTTTCTTTTGAACACCCACCTAAAGAGTTGTTTTGTGGTTTGTTCTGCTTCTACAGGGGACTACATCCAAGGTATTCAACATGGGATGCTGCTGGTAAGCTTAGTGAATACATTTTTTTTAATATACTGGCCCCCCGTGGGAATCGAACCCACAACCCTGGCGTTGCAAACGCCATGCTCTATCAACTGAGCTACATCCCTGCCGGCCATTCCCTCCCCTACCCTGGACGACGCTGGGCCAATTGTGCGCCGCCCATGAGTCTCCCGGTCGCGGCCGGCGGCGACAGAGCCTGGATTCGAACCAGGATCTCTAGTGGCACAGTTAGCACTGCGATGCAGTGCCTTAGACCACTGCGCCACTCAGGAGTACATTGGACATTCATATTAGCCAACACGTGGCTAACTTGTTAAACCAGCTGTTAGCCAAAATACTTTACCTTTCTAGCTAAAATAGGCTGTTAAAGTTGACACTTCTTGTATTCCATTTATAACTGTGGGGAGGTCAAAATAAAATGTATACATTTTTCAATGTTTTACTTTGCCTGGCCATTATCCTTAACACAATAAGACATAGGAAAAACATTTTTTTGTGAAAATCTGAAGGGGGACACTGGTTTTCCCAGGCGGGGGTCCCTGGTTTTCCCGGGCGGGGGTCCCTGACCCTGACTCCCTGGGCAAGAAAATTAAGACCCTGAACTAGCAGTTTCTGACCTCTGGTCCTCTAGTTACCCCAACAGTACATATTTTTGTTGTAGCACACCATATTCTACTTGTCAACTAATCATCAAGCCCTTTAAGGTTAATCAGGTGTTTTTATCCAGGCTACAACAACAATGTGTGCTGTTGGGGGACTGGAGGGAGTTGGGAAACACTGAAGTAGAGTGGTGAGATCCTGTTTGTGCTGATTTATTACACATGTACACCACTAGATGGTGTAGTTATCCCTACAATCAATAGGAGGATGTTATAACAGTTACGAAGAAGTGACATAATTAGGCCTACATAATAGAAACAGCCAACAGACCCCAAAAAATGGAAGTTCACAAAATGGATTTTTTATTTTACTTTCCAAATCCGACCCATCTGTCAGCCATCATATGATGAGGTGGGTCTGTAGTTTGTCATCTGAAGAGGTTTTTGTATGTCTGTAGTTGCTGGGTCGAGAGAGAGGGAGTCATCCTCTGTAAAGACTGGAGGAAGTATCGGTGTTTGATACTAGAAGCTTCCATACTCTCCTCCTGGAGGGTCGATAGAGCCGCCTGCAGACAACAACATTACAGTTAAACCCCCGCAGCTCTCATTCTATTTCTATAGTATAAACAAACACTTTGCCGATTCTCTCTCCTATGGTTAAAACATACAAATATTATTATTTTTTGGTACTTTTTACCCCTTTTTCTCCCCAATTTCGTGATATCCAATTTGTAGTAGATAGTCTCATCGCTGTACAGACTCGGGAGAGGCGAAGGTCGAGAGCCATGCGTCCTCCAAAACACAACCCTGCCAAGCCGCACAGCTTCTTGACACACTGCTCGCTTAACTCGGAAGCCAACTGCACCAATGTGTCAGAGGAAACGCCGTACAGCTGGCAACCGAAGTCAGTGTGCATGCGCCCGGCCCGCCACAAGGAGTCGCTAGAGCGCGATGGGACAAGGACATCCCAGCCGGCCAAACCCTCCCCTAAACCCGACGACGCCTCATGGACCGCTGCGCCACTCGGGAGGCCAAAACATACAAATGTTCTGAAGCATTTTTCTAAAAGTGACTGTGGTGAAGAAATCCCACTGTAAAAGCATTATCTGTATTCTCGTTCAGAAAAATACTTTAGGGACAGGTGTATTGGTGTATACTGTACCTCATTGCGAAGGATTAAAGGGACAGGTACAGTATATTGTATTTAAAGGGGAGGCGTGTTAAAAGGGCTAGGTGTTTTGGTACCTCTCTGCACAGGTTCTCCAGGTCTGCTCCAGAGTAGAGGTCAGTCTGCTCAGCCAGCTCCTCCAGACACACATCATCATCCAGAGGCATCTTCTCTGTACACACCTGCAGGATGGACACACGCGCCTGGGGGGAGAGATAGAGGGAGAAGAGAAAAGGGGGAGAGGAGAAAGAGAGAGGTGAAAGAGGGAGAGTGCGATCAGAGGGATGATCAGACACAGAGGCATGTACCTGAGATAAAAAATGTCACAGCAACATCAATCTGGCGCATCAGACCCTTGTCTTATACCTCTAGGGCAGGTGAAGGTGTAGCAATATGTACCTGTAGGGCAGGTGAAGGTGTAGCAATATGTACCTGTAGGTCAGGTGAAGGTGTAGCAATATGTACCTGTAGGTCAGGTGAAGGTGTAGCAATATGTACCTGTAGGTCAGGTGAAGGTGTAGCAATATGTACCTGTAGGTCAGGTGAAGGTGTAGCAATATGTACCTGTAGGTCAGGTGAAGATGTAGCAATATGTACCTGTAGGGCAGGTGAAGGTGTAGCAATATGTACCTGTAGGTCAGGTGAAGGTGTAGCAATATGTACCTGTAGGGCAGGTGAAGATGTAGGAATATGTACCTGTAGGTCAGGTGAAGATGTAGCAATATGTACCTGTAGGTCAGGTGAAGGTGTAGCAATATGTACCTGTAGGTCAGGTGAAGGTGTAGCAATATGTACCTGTAGGTCAGGTGAAGGTGTAGCAATATGTACCTGTAGATCAGGTGAAGGTGTAGCAATATGTACCTGTAGGTCAGGTGAAGGTGTAGCAATATGTACCTGTAGGTCAGGTGAGGGTGTAGCAATATGTACCTGTAGGTCAGGTGAAGGTGTAGCAATATGTACCTGTAGGTCAGGTGAAGGTGTAGCAATATGTACCTGTAGGGCAGGTGAAGGTGTAGCAATATGTACCTGTAGGTCAGGTGAAGGTGTAGCAATATGTACCTCTAGGGCAGGTGAAGGTGTAGCAATATGTACCTGTAGGGCAGGTGAAGGTGTAGCAATATGTACCTGTAGGTCAGGTGAAGGTGTAGCAATATGTACCTGTAGGTCAGGTGAAGGTGTAGCAATATGTACCTGTAGGTCAGGTGAAGGTGTAGCAATATGTACCTGTAGGTCAGGTGAAGGTGTAGCAATATGTACCTGTAGGTCAGGTGAAGGTGTAGCAATATGTACCTCTAGGGCAGGTGAAGGTGTAGCAATATGTACCTGTAGGGCAGGTGAAGGTGTAGCAATATGTACCTGTAGGACAGGTGAAGGTGTAGCAATATGTACCTGTAGGTCAGGTGAAGGTGTAGCAATATGTACCTGTAGGTCAGGTGAAGGTGTGGTAATATTTACCTGTAGTTCAGGTGAAGGTGTGGTAATATTTACTTCCAGGTGAGGTAATATTTACCTGTACTTCAGGTGAAGGTGTGGTAATATTTACTTCCAGGTGAGGTAATATTTACCTCCAGGTGAGGTAATATTTACCTGTAGTTCAGGTGAAGGTGTGGTAATAGTTACCTGTAGTTCAGGTGAAGGTGTGGTAATAGATACCTACAGGTGAGGTAATATTTACCTGTAGTTCAGGTGGAGGTGGTAATAGTTACCTACAGGTGAGGTATTATTTACCTGTAGTTCAGGTGAAAGTGAGGTAATATTTACCTGTAGTTCAGGTGAAGGTGGTAATAGTTACCTGTAGGTCAGGTGGGGGTACATAGATGATCTGGTCCAGTCTCCCAGGCCTTAGGAGGGCGCTGTCCAGAGAGTCTGGTCTGTTAGTGGCCGCTACGATCATCACTTCCTTGTTACACACCTCCTGGTACTCCAACTGACAGAGAGGGTAGACAGACAGACAGGACATCATGTTAACAACAACAGGAGCAGATTGTCAGGGCGTTTGAGGGGATCAGTTTGAGCAATGTGAAGCTCAGAATTGCTACTCTTTAAGTGATTTGTAGATCAGTGATTCTGAGCAGAATCGATATAAAAAGTGTGCTGTTTGTGTGTATGTTTTTTGTGTGATTATATGGTGTATGTTTCCTTAAACGACTAGTTCTGATTGGTGCTCTAGTAGTAGGATGTAATTTCTGACCTGTTCCTGTTGGTGGCGCTCCTGCACTCCTTCAGCTTGTAGGGTCTTCCCTGCTCCTCTCCTCTCCAGGGTCCTAAAGCCTACCCCGTCCAGCTCATTCAGCAGCACAGACAGGAGGCGGGTCTGGGCACTCTGAGGGGCGTGGCCTTCTGACCGGGAGCCAATCAGAGAGTCCACCTCATCCAGGAACAGGATGGAGGGAGCGCAGGCCCTTGCCTGACGAAACAGCTACAGACAGGAACACACCACATGGTTAAACACGCACACATACAATAACATCTACCAAAGTGATTATATCGATTAAAGCATGACAGCAACATTCCTCCAAATAACAAAGTCGAACTGCTTCAAAAAATGTCTAACACTGCATGCTAGTACAATAAAAAGAGGAACAATTCGGTTAAGACGAGGGGTTCTCCAAACCCCTACCTGAGCCAGGGCCTTCTCCGAGTCTCCTACGTATGGAGAGTAGAGGTCAGCCCCGCTGACTGACAGGAAGGAGCAGTGGGAGGAGGTGGCTGCAGCCCTGACCAGGGTGGTCTTAGCACAGCCTGGGGGACCATACAGCAACACCCCCCTGGGACGGGACAGACCCAGACGCACAAACGCCTCAGGGTAACGCATCGGCCACTCTATACTCTACAGGGAGGGAGCAGAAACAGAGGACAGGAAGTCAGGGCAAGTCCCAAATGACACCCTATTCACCCTATACTCTAGTGCACTACTTTGGAGCAGAGCCTTGTGTCTGTTATTGCCTGCTGCTCTTCAGTGCTTGGTTAAATAAATGGATGGATGGATGGATGGATGAATGAATGGATGCAATAGTGAATGAATGAATGGATGAATAAACAAAGGAATGCTGCTGTTTGCCCGGTATAGTTCCAGCAGTACCTGTTGTAGTTTGAGTTTGACTTCCTCCAGGCCTCCTATCTGTTCCCAGGAGACGGCTGGGAGGTCTGTCCGTCCCAGACTGCCCCTCAGACAGGACGGACGGACAGTCTTCAGGGCAGACAGGAAGTGTTCCATGGTGATTGCCTGCTCCCCTGAACCCTGACAACATACACAACGCACAGCAGGAGGCTGAGTCAATAATGTTAAGACTTTATCTCAATGAGAATAACCTGGATAAAAGTTAGAACAAGTGTGTGTATGCTGGTTACCTGTGTGTGGTGTCTTGTGTGTGAGTGTGGATGATCCGGCTCGAAGGACCAATATGAGCTGACTTTACAGTGTAAGGTGTTTGTGTGTGTGTCTATGCTTACCTGTGTGTTGTGTCGTATAGCCAGCATGGCAGCCTCGCGGCAGAGAGCACTGAGGTCAGCACCCACATACCCTGTAGTCCTCTGGGCCAGCTCTGCCCAGTCCACACTGACACACACTGGCATGGCCTGGCACAGCACTGACAGGATGGACAACCGCTGCTGTGCTGTAGGGGCACCGATAACCACCTGGACAACAGAGAGAGAGAGTAGACAGAGTACATTACAGTACAGACAACTACTGCTGCCCTGATGGGGCACCGATAACCACCTGGAGGCAACAGACACAGGATAGTCTTATTGTACAGACCAACACACACACTCATTACTGTACCTCTCTGTGGAACTTTCTGGTTTTAATTAAGCTTGAATAACAATATTAAGTCACCTCTCTGTCGAACCTCCCGGGCCTCCGTAGCGCTGGATCCAAGCTGTCCGGCTGATTGGTGGCTCCTACGATGAGGAAGCGATCTGATTGGTCCATGCCGTCCATGAGCGTGAGCAGCTGAGCGACCAGCCGGTTCTCGGGTGCGGAGGATCCAGTCCGTCTGGGACAGAGAGAGTCCAGCTCATCCAGGAACAACACACACGGCCCCTCCTCTGCCGCTGCCCGCGCCCGACCAAACACCGCCCGCAACCTCTCCTCACTCTCCCCTGGCCGAGACCCTACTACCTGGGGAATGGAGGAGGCAGGGTAAAGTCCAATTACATTTAGCCAGTGTGTGTGTATTGAGTAACAGCGAGCCCACAAGCTAAACAACATAGGTAAGAAGGCTGGGAACGGTTTGATGTTAAATGTTGCTTCATGTAAGCAAGTATTCAAGTGTGTGTTGTCTAATACTGTGTGTTGTGTAATACTGTGTGTGTATGTGCATGCATATGTATGTGACTGTATGTTTGTGTGTTATATTATGTGTGTGTGTGTGTGCATTCATGTTTATATGTCTATGCGTGTCCATGCGTATGTGTTTATACAGTGCATTCGGAAAGTATTCAGACCCCTTGACTTTTTCCACATTTTGTTACGTTACAGCCTTATTCTAAAACTGATTAAATTGTTTTTTTCCCCTCATCAATCTACACACAATACCCCATAATGACAAAGCAAAAACAGGTTTTTATAAATGTTTGCAAATGTATAAAAAATAAAAAATGGAAATTTGACATTTACATAAGTATTCAGACCCTTTACTCAGTACTTTGTTGAAGCACCTTTGGAAGCGATTACAGCCTCGATTCTTCTTGGGTATGATGCTACAAGCTTGGCACACCTGTATTTGTGGAGTTTCTCCCATTCTTCTCTGCAGATCCTCGCAAGCTCTCTCAGGTTGGATGGGGAGCGTCACTGCACAGCTATTTTCAGGTCTCTCCAGAGATGTTCGATCGGGTTCAAGTCCGGGCTCTGGCTGGGCCACTCAAGGACATTCAGAGACTTGTCCCGAAGCCACTCCTGCGTTGTCTTGGCTGTGTGCTTAGGGTCGTTGTCCTGTTGGAAGGTGAACCTTCGCCCCTGTCTGAGATCGTGAGCGCTCCGGAGCAGGTTTTCATCAAGGATCTCGCTGTACTTAGGTGCCTTTTGGCAAACTCCAAGCGGGCTGTCATGTGCCTTTTACTGAAGAGTGGCTTCCGTCTGGCCACTCTACCATCAAGACCTGACTGGTAGAGTGCTGCAGAGATGGTTGTCCTTCTGGAAGGTTCTCCCATCTCCATAGAGGAACTCTGGAGCTCTGTCAGAGTGACCATCAGGTTCTTGGTCACCTCCCTGACCAAGGCCCTTCTCCCCCAATTGCTCAGTTTGGCCGGGTGGCCAGCTCTAGGAAGAGTCTTAGTGGTTCCAAACTTCTTCCATTTAAGAATGATGGAGGCCACTGTGTTCTTGGGGACCTTCAATGCTGCAGAAATGTTTTGGTACCCTTCCCCAGATCTGTGCCTCGACACAATCCTGTCTCGGAGCTCTACGGACAATTCCTTCGACCTCATGGCTTGGTTTTTGCTCTGACATGCACTGTCAACTGTGGGACCTTATATAGACAGGTGTGTGCCTTTCCAAATCATGTCCAATCAATTGAAGTTAACACAGGTGGACTCCAATCAAGTTGTAGAAACATCTCAAGGATGATCAATGGAAACAGGATGCACCTGAGCTCATAGCAAAGGGTCTGACTACTTATGTAAATTTTATTTTTAATACATTTGCTAAAATTTCTAAAAACCTGTTTTCACTTTGTCTTTATGGGATATTGTATGTAGATTGATGAGGAAAAAATATAATTTAATCAATTTTAGAATAAGGCTGTAACGTAACAAAATGTGGAAAAAGGGAAGGGGTCCGAATACTTTCCGAATGCACTGTATGTGTATGTCTGTGTGTGTCCTCTTACCTCTGGTCCTCTGACTGTGATCAGGATGGCCCCCACTTCCCCCACCAGGCAGCGGACCAGCAGGGTCTTTCCGACCCCCGGGGGCCCAGCCAGTAGCACTCCTCTGGGGCAGGACAGACCCAGGGAGCCCAGGGTAGCAGGGTACTGCAGGGGCAGGCGCAACATCTCTCTCAGACACGCTGACACCTGGAATCACAGACAATAAAGACATGATTAGACAGAGACTAAAGGTTCTTTCTGTCCTTCATCTACAGTGACTTCCTCCACTCATCTCCTCTCCTCCAACTGCATTGACTAACTAAAGACTTCAGGAGAAGAGAAAATACATTCCCAAGAGGCATCCTAGAGTCCATATTGCTTTCACCTACTGAGTCACATCAGAGTGAACGATGTGACAATTGAAATTGACTATTGAGGAGGAGAGGAGAAGAGGACGCCACTGTAGACTATTGAGACGCAGCCTCATCCTGGGTCCTCACCTCCTCCAGTCCTCCCAGTAGGACCCGGGGCTGCTCCTGTAGCTGTCCTCTGTAGTGCCTGAGGGTCCTCGTCCCCGTTATTTCCACCCCCGTCTTAGATGTAACCAAACCAGCCACGGTGGACTCTGGGTTCAGGCTCTCGATGACGATCAGTTTAATGTCCGTGTCATAGTCACCCACATCTATCACATGATTCTGGTGGACATACGTTCCTTTCAGCATGTCCTTCACAAGTTCATGGATGAAACTGGGAGGAGTGGTTTTCCGGAACTCCAAACTCTGAACCACCACTGATACTCTGATGCCTTTCAGCTTGGAGCAGGAGACTGGGGTGAGGCTGGGGCTTCGACATGGGCTGGGGGGAAGTGGGCTAGAGCTGGGGCTAGGGCTGGGGGTTAGGGGTAGGCTGAGGGTGAGGTGTGTGGGTGTGGCTTTGTTTAAGATAAGATTTGGAGAGCAACATTTCATGTCTATCTGTATGAATCCGTCAGCTAGGTCAGGCCTGGGCCAGGCAGTACAGAGACAGGATCCTCCAGACAGAGCCACCAGAACAGGAGAGCCCAGCGCCAACCCCAGGGAGGACATCAGCCCTGGGCCCAGTCTGACCCTCTGGGTGCCCCTGTCAGCTGGGTCCATCGGCAGCACTCTCAGAGACACCTCCTCTTCCATCACCGTCACAGCTGGAGATGGAGAGAAGACACAGGCTTGTCTGTGGGAGGAAAAGATTGAGAGACATGGATATGGGGTTTATTCATCAATAACTTTTCTCACTAAAATACAGACACTAACTGACAGACACAGACACGCACACACACAATCACATGTACTTTTTTTATCAGCTTAAAATAAATAACTGTTTATTTTCTTGTTTATGAGATACAGATAAGTTATTTTGCATCATATGTTATTGCTTTTTTGTTGTTTGGTTTAGTTTTAATATAATCTTTCAATAAATAATAACATTCATGACGTGAGAATATTTTTAGAAATACACATTGCATACTAGAATGCAGACATTTCAAACATAAATACTGACATTTGTTGGTCATTAGAGATAATCACCTGAACTTTTCATACATTTAGAAATTTTAGATGGCAGACCACTACTGATAAAACAGTTCTGCTTGTAAACAGTTGTTAATGATATTTTTATTGAATGATGCTCATTTAGGGCTTTTTTGTGGTCCCCTTTTCCTGAGGGGAAGAGACAGGACATTTCGTACCACTTTTTGATGGATGGGTACCTTCGATGGTGCTGGAGGTGTCTGGGGGCAGAGGAGGGTAGCCACTAGGGAGGTGGGAGGCGGCCGGAGTACTGGCAAGGTTTGGTGGATCATCATCATGAGCCTCCATTTGAGTGGACCAGACTGCTGCAGGACCTGTGTCATCAGGGAGGGAAGAGTCTTGGGATGGCTCTTCACTGGCGGACTTGAAACTGTCATCGTTCTCCTCGTCATTCTTGCTCTCTGGTGTGCTGTCAGACCGACTGCAAGACTGGCTGTAGGTGTGGTTGTTGCTCTCGGGTTTGTGATGCTTCTCCTCTTCACCTCTCTGCTCCCTTGTCCTCCTCTTCCTCACCTCTCTGCTGCTCATGTTGTTTGGGGATGTGCTGTGGGATCTGGGGCTCTTCAGGCTCATCTGCTGGCTGTGTTGGTTGTTGCGCTTCAGGTTCTGCTCCCATTCCACCGTTCTTTGCTCTGTTGCTGTAGGCTTGTGGACAGTTGAAGTAGGTGTGCCCATCACCTTGCTTTCACTCGTGCACTCTCTGGACTTGTGAACTCACTGCATCTCCAGCACGTAACAGTCTTGCAATCCTTCACCTGGTGGTCCATGGCATTACAGACGTAGCAGCGGGTGGTCTGTCCTGGGTAGAAGATTCTGCCACTGTGTGGCCCCAGCATGATGTTGTTGGGGATCGTGAAAGCTTCACCATCAGTTCCTCTCTTGGTCCGGACCTTGTACCTGCTTAGGCCATAGCATATCCCATTGTCGTCTACTGGTTTCATGGCAGGCTGAAGGAGAGTGCAGTAGCGTTGCAGATACAACTCTTATGTCATGTCCAGAACTTCAACGTTATAGTCTTCTCGTCCACGTTGGATGGGGACTCCACTTCCCAGTCACTCAATTTCTGCTCATGTGCATTTGAGTTGCGCCGATTTGGGAGGGTTATGTAGGAATAGACGTCTGCAGCAGTGATCTACAGGGATTCGAACTATAGGTTTTCAGCCACATACTCTCTACAGTACTAGGCACCTCTCCTTCCCCAACGAAGCGCACCCTGACCCAAAATTGGGAGCCATGATGGAAACTTTGCTAAGTTGTGAAATCACCTTTACCATCACCAAAACAGTTTAGCAACCATATCCCAGCCTGCTAGCTACCTATGCTTTCTGGTTACAGTGGCTAGCTAGCGACGGATAGCTGGCTGACTTCTATAGCTAACAACACCATAAAGAACACACACATAAAGACACAGTAGCTAGTTAGCTATAGCCACTTACCAATATGAGTACTATACGTTCTTCTTCAACCACGTTTGTTTCACTCTTATTTCACTAGACGAATAGTTTGACAGCAAGCTAGACGCGTTCATGCTGCAGTTCCATGTTTACAGCAGACATGTGTGTCGAAAATGAGATGGCCAACAGTAAGCGTTCCCTTGGTCGATTTGGGGGGGGTTATCTGATTAGGGATTATAATTCAGATATCATTTTACATTGTAGTTTGATTAGAATGGAAATACTAGAATATTTGCTCGAGAGTTGATAAATAACTTTCAAGTGATGAAACATCTTGGAAGCATATGCACGGAAGTTTCCGCCTCTTTAAAATCCTGGTTTTTATCACAGTCGCTCAGCTACATAAACCTATCATTCAAAACATGTTTCACTGGCGTCATCTTGTGTACAACAATATGCAAACAACTTATGTGCAACATTACATTATTGATGGGGATATAGCTAGTTAATGAAAAAAACATGTTGTGGAGTGATTTTGATTACAGAAAGTCCTTAGAGCATTCTCCATTAATGTCACCAAATCTCAATGAAAGTAAGCCTGCAGCGGTATTATTGTGGTTATGAGAGACTCGCATAGTCTCTATTTATAGTCAATGATATATGCAGCGTTGATTTTATAGTCAGAACTAGGAAACTCGGAAATATTTGACTTGCTAACTGGTTGTAGTTATACACGTGCCGCGTTCAACCAATTAGCAAGTCTGACATGTTTGAGTTTCCTAGTTCCGACTGGCATATGAACGCGGCAATAAACATACGATAACGAAACTTCCCTTCGTGCGGCCGCCAAATTAAAAAGTGAAGGTCGTTCCGACCAAACAAAGTTCCCTACTGTATGTTATAACTTATAAAACCTGCAACAGGAACTGATTTCCTGCGGAGACGAAAACGACCAGAAGGTTTGTAAGAAATCTTTTTGTATCTACCCTAATAAAAATTTTTTATCTTGAACTTTTCTGTTCATTCCTGCAGGAATGAATGCAAGCAACAGGCATGTCATATATGGATGCAACAGTCATGCATGGAAAAAATGTACAGCTACAGGTTGTTGTAATAGAGACTTGTGTCCCAGTTTTCCACCCCGTCTGAATTGTACTCCAATGGTGCAACAGCAGCAGAGAGAGTGAGTGTATGAATGAATTAGAGAGAGGCTGTGTGTGTCCTTTGAGCTGCTGCTGCCCTCTGCTCTGCTAACCCACAACATGGCATGTGGATATAATCCCTCTTTCTCTCTGCCCCAGTTTCTGCATGTAGATCTACTGCCTGCCTGCCTGTCTCCAGCCTCTACCCCTACCCTACCCTTTCTGTTCCTGTCCCTACTCCAACCCAACCCCCTCCCCTGTTCCATGCTCCAGCCCAGCAGTCAGGAGTGTTCTTGTCATAACCACACAGTCATATTTCCAGATCTCGCGTAACTTTGTTTAGTGTGTATCCAGCCCTGTGTCCTGTCCTGCACAGCTGAAATGTCACACTGCCGTCGCTAGGCCCAGCAGCTGAAAAGAAAGTGTGTGTGTGTGTTCAGGACTTTCCGGGGGCAGTTAAGATAACTGGCCCGTCTGAAGAAGCAGCAAGCAGACGTAGTGTTAAAAGACGTCCCCACCTGTAACACACACACACCTGTTTGTGTCTCTAGGAGCTGTTGACCAGAGGTAGAGCTACAGGTACAGGCCAGTCCTTGAGCAGCAGTAGCCATGTCCTCTCTGCTGCGCTGTGTCTCCTGCTGCGGCTCCACTGTCACCTTGCTCCAGCAAGGTGTTCGCCACCACACACCTGGCCGACGGGCCTTCAGGACCTTCCCACAGCTCTGGAACTGTGAGCCTGCTAAAGGTAGGACACACACAGAACACACACACAACTAGAACTCCTTAACAAACACAACAACTCCTTAACACTCTATCTTGTTATAATTGTCTTATCTGTATTTTTGCCACAGTAGGCAGTCTAGGCCTGGCTGCTTGTAGTTTTATAGCTTCCCCTCTCTGTCCTACTAAAGGCATTAGGAAACTAAACAGCAGTTCAGTTAAGGACATTTTCTCCCCTGGCTGGAGCAGTGGAAAAACACCCACAGAGCAGCGACGGTTGTGTTTGGAATAGGGGTTGTTAGGGAAGTTGTTGAAATAGGAAACAATAGGACAGTGAATCAACTCAGCTAACGTTTCAGTGGGATGCTAACCTGACCGTGGCTAACTCCACTTTCTAGTGCTAACTTGCAAAGAGAACATGTAAGAGAGGTCAGTTAAAGGTGAAATGTGGATTCCGCTGTTCTGTGGCGTTTCTACTTTTTATAAACACTACCCTGTGTTGTCACTGACTGAGGTAGCGGTGCTGGTGTGTGTTGTGTGTTTGTGGGAGTTTTGTGTGTTACTGGGGGGTTTTGCGGAGCAGGGTTTGGGTCTGTGTCTGAGAGTGTGTGTGTGTGAGAGACAGAGCAGGCCTCGTCGTGGTGTGGGTACTGGCTCGCAGCCAACCAGCTGCTAATAATGTCTCTGTGCTGGGGAGGTCACCACACCGTGTAAGGACTGATATGTGAAACCTGACTCTCCACCGGCCTCTCAGGCCCAGCACACTTTCCGCTGCAGAACTACACTGTCTTGTAGTCTAACTTACACACACTACAGTAGTAGTCACTACAGCATAGTACACTACAGCCTGCCTCACTCCCTGCCTCTTCTTCCACAGTCTCATCTGCAGCCTCTTTTACCCTGAACCTGTCAGTCTCTCCCAGATTCTCACCTAGTCTTGATAATGGCAAACAGCAATGTTTTCTGAAATCAGAATTGGGTTACTCTTCATGCTGTTAATGGTAATGCTATACTCATGTCTCCCACTCATGTATCTGTACAGGTGTGTGTGTGTGCGCACTGATTCAGTGTGTGTAAATCACGCCCATTGTTTTTCCCCGTGGTGCGTTGTACCTTGTGTGGTTGTCCTCAAGTATTTGTTATAATGAGCTTGTGTGTGTGTCCATACAGGACGGCTGTATAAGGACCTGGTGGTAGGAGTTCCTAAGGAGATCTTTAAGAATGAGCGTCGTGTGGCTGTGTCCCCTGCGGGGGTGGAGCTGCTCGTCAAACAGGGCTTCAACGTCCAGGTGGAGTCTGGAGCAGGAGACCATGCTAAGTTCTCTGACCAAATGTACATAAACGCTGGAGCCTCCATCACAGACACTAACGGGGCCTTCGGATCCGACCTGGTCCTCAAGGTCAGTACTGGGCTATGGAACTCAAACTAAACTCAAACTCAGTGTGGTCAATACTGGGCTGGGAGTATATTTAAACCCAGGGCCGCAGAGTTACATCTTTGAGAGGATCGGCCTGAGCAAAGCTTTGTGCAGAATCATAGATCTACAGATCATCTTGCATTCCATTAACTACTCATCATGAGATCCAGATAAGTTATACCACACAGCTCCTAGCTCAGGCAGATCCCCTCAAACCTTCTGTTAGACAACAAAATGTGTTATGATCTATTGAGGGCCAGATCCTAACTTCAGATAGACACATGTTGAAATTGAACTTTATTGTAAACCATACGTCACACTTATAGTATGTCAATGGGAGTTTTGCACAACAAATTGAGTGAGGAATGACTTTTGCCCTGCCAATGTGTTAGGTGTAGTATTGCACTGGTGAAACCAGGTAAAGTCTTGCTGGTAGTTTGAGCTAGTAGAGGAAACAGAGCAAAATATAGCATTTCTATTTCTTAGACATTGTTGGCCATCCTACAGCCCTCGGTAACCTCTGACCCATCTTCTCTCTTGACCTTTCTCTTCAGGTGAGAGCTCCAGTGTTGAACGAGGCTACTGGGAAGCATGAGTCAGAGATGCTGAAGCCTAAGTCCACCCTGGTGAGTTTCATCTACCCAGCCCAGAACCCTGAGCTCATGGAGAAGCTGGCCCAGAGTCAGACCACCGTGCTGGCCATGGATCAAGTCCCCCGCGTCACCATCGCACAGGGCTACGATGCACTCAGCTCCATGGCTAACATTGCAGGGTAAGGGGAGACATGCACAGAGACATGGATGCAGGCACGCAGACATGCAAGACACCCACGCATGCACAAATGCATACATACATACATACACACACACACACACACAGTAACGTATATGTCTTAGCTTGTTGAACGTGTTCATAGAACTGTGTGTGTGTCCTGCAGGTACAAGGCAGTTGTTCTGGCTGCTAACCACTTTGGCAGATTCTTCACTGGTCAGATCACAGCAGCAGGGAAAGTCCCCCCAGCCAAGGTAAGTCCTTCTATAGCAATTATATCAACTAGATCAATGTGAATGTACCTGTCAAAACTGAACAACTGTGACATCTCAGAGCATTAACTATATTATAGCATTTTGACTAACCTGTCAAAACTGAACATCTGGACTGCACTGCAGAGTCCGTGTGATCAATATAACGTCGCTGTATCTCTGACCGCTATCTTGTTAACACTTCCAGGTCCTGGTCATCGGAGGTGGAGTGGCTGGTTTGGCTGCAGCTGGAGCTGCGAAGTCTATGGGAGCTATCGTCAGAGGCTTCGATACCAGGTGAGCTACAGTCAGACTTTAATACCAGGTGAGTTGCAGTCAGAAGCTTTAATACCAGGTGAGTTGCTGTCAGAAGCTTTAATACCAGGTGAGTTGCAGTCAGAAGGTTTAATACCAGGTCAGCTACAGTACCAGATGAGCTGTAGTTAGTCTTCGATACCAGGTACAGTATTGATGATGGTGATGTTCTACAATGTTTTGTATCCACTCTCAGACCAGCAGCTCTGGAACAGTTTAAGTCGTTCGGGGCGGAGCCTTTGGAGGTGCACATTAAGGAGTCCGGGGACGGTCTTGGAGGTTACGCCAAGGAGATGTCCCCAGAGTTCATTGCAGCTGAGATGGAGCTGTTTGCCAAGCAGTGTAAAGATGTGGACATCCTCATCAGTACTGCTCTCATCCCAGGTGAACATTCATTCATTCATTCAGTATCTCATTCATTAATTCATACTCTGTCTGCTTGTTCTCTCTTTCTGTTTCTCTCCTACGTCTCTCCATCCCTTCTATCACCATCAATATCATTCCACTCTTTCTATCCTAATCATTTCCCTTTCTATAATGATCCGTGACCATGCCCTCTCTGTCTGTAGGTAAGCGAGCTCCCATCCTGATCAAGACAGAGATGGTGGAGTCTATGAAGGATGGCTCTGTGGTGGTGGATCTGGCTGCTGAAGCTGGAGGAAACATTGAGACCACCAAGCCTGGAGAGCTGCACGTACACAAGGTGAGGAGACCAGCTCAGTTCTGGAAGAATAATACTGTACCTAGTGTGTGTATAGTTGGAGTTTGTGTGTGTAACTGAGAGCTGTGTGTGTTTCTCCTCAGGGTGTGACACACATCGGCTTCACAGACCTGCCCAGCCGTATGCCCACCCAGGCCAGCACCCTGTACTCCAACAATGTGCTCAAACTGCTCAAGGCCATCAGGTAGAGAGACGGGTGGACGGGTGGGTGGATGGATGGGTGGATGGATGGGTGGATGGGTGGGTGGATAGATAGACAATTTATTATGCTACTAGACATGGACAGGGACAGTAGTTTTCCCTAGGACCAATCACATTATCTGACCAGGAAAAACACCTGTCCTTTGTTATAGCCTCACATACCCTGAGTTGTTCCTGGTCAAGTCTAAAAGGATTGGAGTTTGATAAAGGTGGTACAGTATATAAATGTGATATATTAATGTATGATTCTCATTCTGAATATCACCATCAGCCCAGACAAAGACTACTTCCATTTTGAGCCCAAAGAAGAGTTTGACCACGGGACACTGGACCACGTCATCAGAGGAACCATGGTCATGCAGGTATGTAGTATGTGTCTCTATTGAATACTGTATGTAGTATATGTCTGTTAATTTTGGTACTCATTTTTTATTTATTTAGTCTAGTCTTAGTCATTTGGACTAAAATATAATTAAGTCACATTTTTGTCATTTGAATAATGATTTAGTCTAGTTATTGTCAAAATGACGAAAACAGTGGGCCATTTTAGTCAACTAAATGCCCTTTCAATTGAGTCACATTTTAGTCACATCACATTTGTATTGCCTCATTAACCTATAGTAAACATACATCACTGACTTCCATGTGCACAAACATACATAACCTTGTCCTACCAACAGATTGTTCTGCATAACATCCTATCGCATGATTCTTTTCCCAACAGCCAGATTGGCAGAAGAACACATTACTCTGCAGCAGATGATAAATCACACTCTTTGACATACTGTAGCTGTATTGGAAAAGTTCTGTCATAAGTAGTAACTAACTAACTAGCATTATCAGTCTGTTATTACCTGAGCGTATATATTGTGAGGACTCTCTTTCAGATGTCTCTTGAGGTTGGCAGGAATTTTTGCCCATCAACTTGTGGGTGCAAACGCTGTCTTCTCCCGTGGAAACGTTGGATTCGGTTTTGTTTTAATCGACACAATAAGTAAAGTGTCTCCAAAGTAGGTGAATCAGTCACACTGACACTGAAGAAAGCAGGGAGGTTTAAACGTGATATTTCACTCCAAAATCAAAGTTTGTCAGATCTTATCTGTTGAATGAGTAAAAGATTCCACGTCCCATCATGCTCAGACTTTCTCTGCCTCCCAGATGGCACCCTATGGGCCCTGGTCAAAAGTAGTTCACTATATAGGGAATAGGGTGCCATTTGGGACGCTGGCTGTGAATTCTGAGTGAAGCGTCACCATGACCCATAAGCCACCCTGCTATGGTTTATCAGAGCTGGAACCCAGCTGGCTGCACATAGCACAGCTTACGTGAGAAACAGGAATGCTTGTTATGAAATATATTTTTTTAATGCACTTTTCCAGGAATGTCTTGATTTGACAGTTTTGACACTTTGACAGTGTTTATGGCAGACTAGAGGCAGAGAAAGCACGAGGCGTATCACCTTACCACGTATTAAACAAAGAATTATTCATGCTATTTAAATGTGGATTTTTCTCGGTTGCTATGTTCCATCGTTATATCCCCGTGGTTGTTACTCCGGTTCCTTAGGTAGACAGATAAAGACACCTCAACTGGCACATGATCGGTAGGTGTCTTATTTTCAACCTTGCATGCCATAGAAACTCACTTTAAAAAAGAAAATATTCCAATTAAATCCATGACATGATCCCTCCATTTCTAACAATAACCTCAATTGCTCACGTGTTACTCAATGTGTGTATTCCTCTACTGTTGTGGATTTGTCATTTTGTGTATTTCTCATCTTGTGTGTTTTCTTATATAGTGTATCTCTCACATTGTGTTTGTCACATCTCCAGGAGGGCAAGAACCTGTTCCCGTCCCCCCAACCTAAGACACAACCCCCAGCCGCTCCAGTCAAACAGAAGAGTGTAGCAGAGCTAGCGGCAGAGAAGGCAGCTGTGGTCTCACCCTTCCAGAAGACCTTGACCAACGCTGGTGTCTACACCGCAGGTCAGACACACACTCACAACGCACATGCGCACACACACACACACACACACACACGCACGCCCTAACTCCCTCCCTCTATGCTGACCTCTCCTGTCCCCAGGTCTCTCCACATGTCTGGCTCTGGGCTTGGCAGCGCCCAACGCAGCCTTCACCCAGATGGTCACCACCTTCGGCCTGGCCGGCATTGTGGGATACCACACGGTGTGGGGCGTTACCTCTGCCCTCCACTCACCACTCATGTCCGTCACCAATGCCATCTCAGGTAAGAGGTCAGGGCTCAAACAGGTTCACTGATGGGTCGTATTCATTCGTGCACACCTTAGCAAAATGTAGCAAAACGCTTTGCAATGGAAAAACAAGCATTTTATTGGACACGTTTTGGCAGTTCCTCCTCGATTCGGTCAGTTTTCAGCTGTTTGGTGTCTAGTGAATATGACCCTGGTGTGTCAGTAGGTAATGGTCAAATGACACACTATTCTCCATATGTGGTGTGTCTGTAGTATTGAGCTGTATAGTGTAATAAAGCTCTGTGTTTTTCTCCCTCTAAGAAACCCCTGCAGAAACTGTTACATTATTCAATTACTTTACTCCTTCAAGCACCTGGACTTTGAATGAACAAGGTGTGTGAACATGTGTTGTCTTCTCTCCCCATGGCAGGTCTGACTGCTGTGGGTGGTCTGGTCCTAATGGGGGGAGGTCTCCACCCCTCCTCCTTCCCCGAGAGCCTGGCTCTGGCTGCAGCCTTCGTCTCCTCCATCAACATCGCAGGTCCGGCACACACACGACACTCACTCAGTCACACACTGTCACTCACTCACTGTCTCTCTCTGTCCTCCCAGGTGGTTTCATGATCACCCAGAGGATGCTGGACATGTTTAAGCGTCCTACAGACCCTCCAGAGTACAACTACCTGTACGGTCTGCCAATAGGAGTCTTCATAGGAGGCTACGGGGCCTCTGTGGCTGCTGGCTTCCACATCGAGCAGGTGACACTGATGTGCTGTTGTTGTTGAAGTGCTGTTCTACAGATGATGTAACTACCTGGGGTTAGGATGTGCTATCTGTGTTGTTACATTGTACTTTGTTGTGTAGGTGTATTGCATTGTGTAACACTGTGTATTCCAGATGATGTACATAGGGCCTGGTATGTGCTTTGTGGCGGTGTTGTGTTAGAATGTGTTATATTTTGTGTGTTCCAGATGATGTACCTGGGGTCTGGTATGTGCTGTGTGGGAGCATTGGCAGGGCTGTCTTCACAGGGCACCAGTCGTCTGGGTAATGCCCTGGGCATGATGGGGGTAGCAGGGGGCATCGCTGCCACCCTTGGCTCCCTGAAGCCCTCTCCTGAGCTGCTGGCACAGATGAGTGCCGCCATGGCCACCGGAGGAACCCTGGGTACGTAGACCTGCTACACCACACAGCCATATACAGATACATACCATGTCAAATCTAATCAAAATGTATTGAAAGTGCGTTTAAACATCTAAAAATACCATATGATCCAAATGGAAACTAAAAAGCCCATAGCCACCGGAAGAACACTGGGTATGTAGGCCCTTCCTCCAAGACCATAGGCTTAATCTGTTTCCAGGAAACAGGCCCATATAAAGTCAACTTTTCCAGCTAGATGCCATGTTTCTACCTCTGAACTTTTCATTCTGCCATTGGTGATGAGAATTTTGGTCTGGAAAACACAGGCAGAAAAGTCTAGAAATATCTGATCTCAAACACCATTCCACATTTGTTTAAAAGCGTATAAAACCATGATTCATGTTTTTACATGTTATCGACTTTGCATCTTATTTCTGAAGTCTTTGAAAAATGAGTGTGAATTATTAAAACTATGATGGACCATCCATCATGCTGTCTAGATTTAGAGAAATAACATGTTCTGATATCTTCAAGGCATCAGAGTGTACTTAGTAGTTGTGTGTGTGTGTGTGTGTGTGTACTTTAGGAGTGGTGTGTTATGATGAATGATGTTATTATTCTGTTAGGCCCTGGCAGCCGTCGGACATGCATACACACACAAACAGGGCGTGTATGTTAACGCAGTCTGAGATTAGTAATATTATCCTTTAGAGAAAACTAGCTCTTATTTTATTAGGGTTTTTGACAACCATGTTTAGAGCGTGCCTCCAGACTATTCTGTTACTTTTGATGTTAATGTCCAAAATGAATACAAAAGTAATTCAGTACAGATGGTTGCCTTTCCACCAAATACAGTATGTTGTAGCACTAGGAGTTAGTCCAACTCTATGTGAAGCACTGTGAGACTAGGAGAAAATACTTCCATAGAAAGGGTCTTATACATTTGGTCACCTTCAGAGATTCAGGGCAGTTTTTTTTTTTGTTACTGAATTCCAAATCAACTGCTAGGACGTACAGCCTCAGTACTTACAGTTGAAGTCGGAAGTTTACATACACTTAGGTTGGAGTCATTCAAATTCGTTTTTTCAACCACTCCACAAATTTCTTGTTAACAAACTAGTTTTGGCAAGTCGGTTAGGACCTCTACTTTGTACATGACACAAGCAATTTTTCCAACAATTGTTTAGAGACAGATTATTTCACTTATAATTCACTGTATCACAATTCCAGTGGGTCAGAAGTTTACATACACTAAGTTGACTGTGCCTTTAAACAGCTTGGAAAATTCCAGAAAATTATGTCATGGCTTTAGAAGCTTCTGATTGACTCAAATTATGTCAATTAGCCTATCGGAGGTGTACCTGTGGATGTATTTCAAGGCCTACCTTCAAACTCAGTGCCTCTTTGCTTGACATCATGGGAAAATCAAAAGAAATCAGCCAAGACCTCAGAAAAATAATTGTAGACCTCCACAAGTCTCGTTCATCCTTGGGAGCAATTTCCAAACGCCTGAAGGTACCACGTTCATCTGTACAAACAATAGTATGCAAGTATAAACACCATGGGACCACGCAGCCGTCATACCGCTCAGGAAGGAGATGCGTTCTGTCTCCTAGAGATGAACGTACTTTGGTGCGAAAAGTGCAAATCAATCCCAGAACCACAGCAAAGGACCTTATGAAGATGCTGGAGGACACAGGTACAAAAGTATCTATATCCACAATAAAACAAGTCCTATATCAACATAACCTGAAAGGCCGCTCAGCAAGGAAGAAGCCACTGCTCCAAAACTGCCATAAAAAAGCCAGACTACGGTTTGCAACTGCACATGGGGACAAATATCGTACTTTTTGGAGAAATTTCCTCTGGTCTGATGAAACAAAAATAGAACTGTTTGGCCATAATGATAATCGTTATGTTTGGAGGAAAAAGGGGGATGCTTGCAAGCCGAAGAACACCATCCTACCGTGAAGCACGGGGGTGGCAGCATCATGCTGTGGGGGTGCTTTGCTGCAGGAGGGACTGGTGCACTTCACAAAATAGATGGCATCAAGAGGAAGGAAAATTATGTGGATATATTGAAGCAACATCTCAAGACATCAGTCAGGAAGTTAAAGCTTGGTCGCAAATGGTTCTTCCAAATGAACAATGACCCCAAGCATACTTCCAAAGTTGTGGCAAAATGTCTGAAGGACAACAAAGTCAAGGTATTGGAGTGGCCATCACAAAGCCCTGACCTCGATCCTATAGAAAATGTGTGGGTAGAACTGAAAAAGCGTGTGCGAGCAAGGAGGCCTACAAACCTGACTCAGTTACACCAGCTCTGTCAGGAGGAATGGGCCAAAATTCACCCAACTTATTGTGGGAAGCTTGTTGAAGGCTACCCGAAACGTTTGACCCAAGTTAAACAATTTAAAGGCAATGCTACCAAATACTAATTGAGTGTATGTAAACTTCTGACCCACTGGGAATGTGATGAAACAAATAAAAGCTGAAATAAATAATTATCTCTACTATTATTCTGACATTTCACATTCTTAAAATAAAGTGGTGATCCTAACCGACCTAAGACAGGGAATTTTTACTCAGATTAAATGTCAGAAATTGTGAATTTGGCTAAGGTGTATGTAAACTTCAGACTTCAACTGTATATAGAACTGAAGGTCTCTGTGACGGCGTGTCTGTGTTTTCCCCTGTGCCCCACTGCGTGTTTCTGAATCTGTGCTACTCTGCTTCCCCAGGTCTGACCATTGCTAAGCGTATTGAGATCACCGACCTCCCCCAGCTGGTAGCTGCCTTCCACAGCCTGGTAGGTCTGGCTGCAGTGCTAACCTGTGTGGCAGAGTACATGATCGAGTATCCCCACCTGGACGTGCACCCTGCAGCCAACATGGTGAAGACTGTGGCCTACCTCGGCACATACATCGGAGGGGTCACCTTCAGCGGGTCACTGGTGGCATATGGCAAGCTGCAAGGTAATGTAGACAGCCATTAACACACGTGAATGCAGACAGACAGACACACACACACTCTGAGCTCTCTGTCCTGTGGTACTGATTGCCTCCTTTGATCTAGCCAAAGCTCAAGATCCCATGGGAAATCCAGGCCAGGATGGTGTGTGTGTTTGTGTGTATGGCTGATTATTGCGTGCCTGACAGAGTGGAAGGGCCGGGAGGCTTTGTAGGAATTCTATGTGGGAAAGGTAACAGTTGTTAAAGGAAAAATCCACCCAAAACCCCTCATTCCTATAATTTAATGTGTTAAATAACACTATGTGAGAACAATATTTTTTTGTGGAACAAATGTTTCATTTTGTCATTATAATAAGGTTGGTAGAAACGTGAAAATCGTTGTGGAAATATGTTGCAGCTCAAGTAGACTACAAAATCCACAATGCAATGCTCTATATGGGCTGGCTAGCTAGCTAGCGAACTTAGCTACACACAATAATACCAACTGCACTATCAATTTAGGAGTCACCCTGGACTGAAGAGCAAGACCAATAGAAGAAACGTGCTAGACCCTCTGTTAAATTATACATTTCTCGAGGTACGATCACTGGTTCATTCGAGAGAAGACAACCTCCCGAGTTATGACATCGGCCAGTATTGAAATCTGACATGTATGATAGACGTTTTTGCGATCTAAAAGTCGTATTCCTATTAACTTCCAGAGTAGTGAGAGCGGCGTTATCACAATTCTACGTCATACCGGCTGAATTTCTGCGTGCTTTGAAAGCCAATAACTCAGATACACATGAAAACATGAAATGACCCAGGGAATCGATAGAACATCACTCAGAGATGCACAAAAACAATATAGCATTCAAAATGGGTGAATATTTTCCTTAAGTTGGGGGGGGCTGCTTCTCTAAGGAGGGAAGTCCTTCTGGCCCACATATGAGAAATGGTTGTCTGTCTATCTATTGTGTTTAGAAACTGGCAGTTCTCTGTTCCCTGTGTGATCACTGGTAATGAGAGACAGACTGAAGGCAGGAGTCCCTGCCAGATCTGTGGTCTGTTATCAGTATAATACAACACTCCACCTGGCCTCCACCCCTCACTCTAATCAATGTGATATATCAATACAACCCCCCACCTGGCCTTCACCCCCTCACTCTAATCAATGACATTTGTATTTATTTATCAGGTGCGACAAAACTAGGGCCTGTAGGACCTGCCTTGTTGATAGTGCTGTTAAGAATGCAAAGCAGCGCTTTATTATAGACAGACTTCTCCCCATCCTAGTTACTGTTGTATCAATATGTTTTGACCATGACGACAGTTTACAATCCAGGGTTACTCCAAGCAATTTAGTCTCCTCAACTTGCTCAATTTCCACATTATTCATTACAAGATTTAGTTGAGGTTTAGGGTTTAGTAAATGATTTGTCCCAAATACAGCCATTCTGAAACTAACTGCAGCTCTTTTGTTAAGTGTTGCTGTCATTTCAGTCGCTGTGGTAGCTGACGTGTATAGCGTTGAGTCATCTGCATACATAGACACACTGGCTTTACTCAAAGCCAGTGGCATGTCGTTAGTAAAGATTGAAAAAAGTAAGGGACCTAGACAGCTGCCCTGGGGAATTCCTGATTCTACCTGGATTTTGTTGGAGAGGCTTCCATTAAAGAACACCCTCTGTGTTCTGTTAGACGGGTAACTCTTTATCCACAATATAGCAGGGGGAGTAAAGCCAAAACACATACGTTTTTCCATCATTAGACTATAATCGATTTAATGTCAAAACAAAAACAAAACAGCCCCCACAATCTTTTTATCATCAATTTCTCTCAGCCAAACATCAGTCATTTGTCTAAGTGCTGTGCTTGTTGAATGTCCTTCCCTATAAGCGTGCTGAAAGTCTTGTCAATTTGTTTACTGTGAAATAGCATTTTATCTGGTCAAACACCATTCTTTCCAAAAGTTTACTAAGGGTTGGTAACAGGCTGATTGGTTGGCTATTTGAGCCAGTTAAGGGGGCTTTACTATTCTTAGGTAGGGGAATAACGTTTGCTTACTTCCAGGCCTGAGGGCACACACTTTCTAGTAGGCTTAAATTTAAGATATGGCAAATCGGAGTGGCAATATAGTCTGCCATTATCCTCCAGTAATTTTCCATCCAAGTTGTCAGACCCCGGTGGCTTTTCATTGTTGATCGACAATAATACTTTTTCCACCTCTTCCACACTTACTTTACGGAATTCAAAATTACAATGCTTATCTTTCATAATTTGGTCAGATATACTTGGATGTGTAGTGTCTGCGTTTGTTGCTGGCATGTCATGCCTAAGTTTGCTAATCTTGCCAATGAAAAAATAATTGAAGTAGTTGGTAATATCAGTGGGTTTTGTAATGAATGAGCCATCTGATCCAATGAATGATGGAGCTGAGTTTGCCTTTTTGCCCAACATTTCATTTAAGGTACTCCAAAGCGTTTTTTAAATCATTCTTAATGTCATTTATCTTTGTTTCATAGTGTCGTTTCTTCTTTTTATTCAGTTTAGTCACATGATTTCTCAATTTGCAGTACGTTTGGCAATCGGTTGTACAGCCAGACCTATTTGCCATCGCTTTTGCCTCATCCCTCTCAACCATACAATTTTTCAATTTCTCATCAATCCACAGGGATTTAACAGTTTTTACAGTCATTTTCTTAATGGGTGCATGCTTATTAGTAACTGGGATAAGCAATTTCATAAATGTGTCAAGTGCAGCGTCTGGTTGCTCGTCATTACACACCACAGACCAACAAATATTCTTCACATCAACAACATAGGAATAACTACAGAACTTCTTGTATGACCTCTTATACACAATATTAGGCCCAGCCTGTCGAACTTTGGTTTTCCTAGATATGGCTACTATATTGTGATCACTACATCCGATGGATTAGGATAATGCTTTCAAACAAATTTCTGCAGCATTAGTAAAGATATGATCAATACATGTTGATGATTTAATTCCTGTACTGTTTGTAACTACCCTGGTAGGTTGACTGATACCAGGTTGCAGGCACTAGTTACAGTTTGAAGCTTTCTCTTGAGTGGGCAGCCTGATGAAAGACAGTCAATATTTAAATCACCCAGAAAGTATACCTCTCTATTGATATCACATATATTATCAAGCATTTCACACATGTTATCCAGATACTGACTTTTAGCACTTGGTGGTCTAAAGCAGCTTCCTACCAGAATGGGCTTTAGGTGAGGTAGGTGAATCTGTAGCCATATTACTTCAACAGTATTTAACATGAGATCCTCTCTAAGCTTTACAGGAATGTGGTTCTGAATATAGACCGCAACACCGCCCCCATTGGCATTTCTGTATTTTCTGTAAATGTTATAACCTTGTATTGCTACCACTGTATCATCAAATATATTATCTAAGTGAGTTTCAGAGATTGTCAGAATATGAATGTCATCTGTTACAAGCAAATTATTGATTTCATTAACCTTGTTTCTTAAGCTACATATGTTAACGTGGGCTATTTTTAAAACTTTTCTGGGATGCTTGATTATTTTTCTTGCTTTACTGGGAAGCTTAGCAGAGGTAGACATACCCAGGATTCCCTGCTCCATTCCGCCTCTCTCTGTTCCCAATTTCCAGTTCAGAATGATACATTCCCAGTTCCAAGTTCAGAGTTTTGAATTCCGAGTTCCGTGTGCAGTATTGTGAATATTGTTCTGTATTCCCTCCTGTCAGGCGTTCTGAACTCCGCCCCGCTGATGTTGCCGGGGCGTCACATGATGAACGCCGGTTTGATGACGGCATCTGTCGGCGGTATGATTCCCTTCATGCTCAGTACGGACTACGCTACTGGCATGGGCTGTCTGGTTGGAGTGTCTGGACTTTCCACCATCATGGTGAGAACATGGCTAAAGCTGCAATGTTTTATACAGACATGGTGAAGAAACACCGGCAATGACCAATAGTGTTATTCAGCTCTAATCAGAATAAGAAAAATGACACTCAACAATGTTGGTGGGACTGACCTTGATAAAGGCTAAACAATCTACAGCAGGGGTCGGCAACAGGCGGCCCGTGGGCCAAAACTGGCCCCCGAGTGTTGTTTATTTATTTCATAGTTAATTTTTTTGGGCCCCCCGGATGTTTTTAGTAAAAATTTCAACATTTCAAAAAATAACCAGGAATTCTTCAAAAAATATGTTTAATTGAGAATCTCTTCCCAAGTATTCCCACAAATAAAAAAAGAGACGTGATCGTGTCTCAAGTCAATCAAGGTATGAAATTATTGTTATTTTCAAATACAATCTCTTTTTGGGCTTAGTTAAGATCAATTTGCAGTGTAAAAATTATTATAATTGTTTTCCGGCCCATTCGCTCCAACAAAAATGGGCCCACGTCTTAATCTAGTTGCCTACACCTGATCTACAGGAAATAACACAGTATCTTACAAATTCTGTAAGGGATTTATCTAGTTACTACCCAGCAAACCAAAATTGGCTCTGTAAAAGTTTCCAGAACAGTCATTAGGTTGTAGCAAATGCTCTCATAACACAAAAACTGTCCAGTTGTGCTGATGATTATACAATGTTTGTATAAATAATGTGCCTGATGTTGCAAGAACATTGCTCTCATATTTCGTTGTGGCAGTATGTTCTAAAAACAGTACAGGTGCATTGTTATTTCCTTACCAGGAAACCTAATGAGAACGTTTGGGGAATGTTCTGTGGTGGTTATTACAGATGTTGTGCACAACATGTTTGTGAATGTTAGGAATACATTCCAAGAATATTTCATTTAAAACATAACAAATAAATACAAAATAACTTTCTTTGAATGATTTTGGGATGTTATCATCCTAATGTTAGATCAAAAACGAACTAGAACTTAATGGGAATCTTAGCTAATGTTCTCGGAATGTTCCCGGTTTGATGGAGAGAGTTCCAAGATTCTAGTAACTTTCCCAAAAATCCAGGTTGGAAGATTATCCAGAAATCCAGGTTGGAAGATTACTGGAATCAGTGGGGAATAAGCAGGAAATCCAGGGATCCTCCAACTAGGATTTATGGAAAACCTTGGAATTTTGCAACCCTATTGGTGACTGTGAAGAGTGTCCTGACGGGGATTGTGTTTTTGTAGGGCGTAACCCTGACAATGGCCATCGGGGGCGCTGACATGCCCGTGGTCATCACTGTGCTCAACTCCTACTCTGGTTGGGCGCTGTGTGCCGAGGGATTCCTATTGGACAACAACCTCATGACCATCGTAGGAGCTCTCATTGGCTCCTCGGGTGCTATCCTCTCCTACATCATGTGTGTGGTGAGTACTGCTAAACACACGCACTCACTCACACACACACACTCACTCTCTCAGCCCCTCTCTCTCACACACACACTCACTCTCTCAGCCCCTCTCTCTCACTCACACACTCACTCTCTCAGCCTCTCTCTCTCACTCACACACACTCACTCTCTCAGCCTCTCTCTCTCACTCACACACACTCACTCTCTCAGCCTCTCTCTCTCACTCACACACACTCACTCTCTCAGCCTCTCTCTCTCACTCACACACACTCACTCTCTCAGCCTCTCTCTCACTCACACACTCACTCTCAGCCTCTCTCTCACTCACACACACTCACTCTCTCAGCCTCTCTCTCTCACTCACACACACTCACTCTCTCAGCCTCTCTCTCTCACTCACACACACTCACTCTCTCAGCCTCTCTCTCTCACTCACACACACTCACTCTCTCAGCCTCTCTCTCACTCACACACTCACCTGCCAGTCAGGCAGCCTTGTCATCTTAGTTTTGCTCTTGCAGTTTGAGATTTTTTTTACAGGAATGATGTTTTTGGAATTCGTCAAAAGATTTGGCGCCTTCCCCATAGAGATACGATATTATATAAATGTTGTATTTAATCCTGGGTACACAACGCTCTTTCTAGGCAATGAACCGTTCCCTGCCCAACGTGATCCTGGGAGGGTTTGGTACCAGCTCCACGGCAGGGGGGAAACCCATGGAGATCACGGGCACCCACACAGAGGTCAACGTGGACCAGTCCATCGAACTCATCAAAGAGGCCAACAGCATCATCATCACACCAGGTACACACAGACACAAACACACACGCAGCACAAATGCAATCATGCGTGCGCACAACAGGCAAGTTCTGGGAAGGGTTCAGAGGTAGTCTGATGTAACACACCTGTGTATCAGTGTTCATCACTGTAGGAGGGTTGTGTGCTGAGTCATGCATCTCTATATGTCTCTGTCTGTGTTCTGCTCTCCTCCCCAGGCTGAACTCTACTACCAGATAAGAAAATGTAGTATATGTAGGATCTAGCATAGAGGGGTTGTAATGAAACCTAGCATAACATCTGTATTGGAGCCTGACAGACAGGTACAGGGAATGTCCAGTAGAGGGTGTGGTTTGTCTATGTCCCTGTGAAGCGGAGCTAGCTTGTCTGCCAGGCAGGCAGTCAGACAGACAGGCAGGCAGACAGGCAGGCAGGCAGACAGACAGGCAGTCAGACAGACAGGCAGGCAGTCAGCCAGACAGCCAGACCTCGGAGTTAACCGGTAGTATAGAAGACTACAGTGGCCCAGGGGTCAGAGGGTTAAAGGTCAGGGGGATTTGTTCCAAACGAAGTTGATTAGTTGTTTAATCAACATACAGCACTGGCCTCTCACCGCTCACCTCTCAACTCTACCCAGTATCAGAACACACACACACCTCTACCCAGTACGCTGATAACCCTGGACAGAGTTACGCAGGCAGGCATTAGACAGACCCATGGGAGGGGGGGTGAAGAAGAGGTCATGCGTGCTAGAGGAACCTGTGTAACTCACACACATAACCCCCTGCCCATAACACACACATAACCCCCCGCCCATAACACACACACACACAACCCCCCGCCCATAACACACACACACAAACCCCCCATAAACAACACACATAACCCCCGCCCATAAACACAAACATAACACCACCAAAAAAACAACAATAAACCCCACGCCATAAAAACACACAAAAAACCCCCGCCCATAACACACACACACATAACCCCCCGCCCATAACACACACACACAACAACAACCCCGCCCATAAAACAACACAACATAACCCCCGCCCATAAACACAACACAACATAACCCCCGCCCATAACACACACACACACATAACCCCCGCCCATAACAACACACACACATAACCCCCGCCCATAACACACACACACACATAACCCCCGCCCATAACACACACACACACATAACCCCCGCCCATAACACACACACACACATAACCCCCGCCCATACAAACACACACAAACCCCCGCCCATAACACACACACACACAAACCCCCGCCCCATACAACACACACAACCCCCATAACACACACAACCGCCATACACACACACACAACCCATAACCACCACCATAACACACACACATAACCCCCCGCCCCATAGCACACACACACATAACCCCCCACCCATAACACAAACACACATAACCCCACACCCATAACACTTACAGGCAGGGGAAAGGGGTTTCCTCGCACGCACCCCCCCCCCCAGACGGTAGAAATCCTATGATTTAAGACAGAAGGGAGAGAGGAGAGATGGAAGAGAATGGGTAAAGAGGGAAGAGAGGGGGGGAAAGATGAGGGGAGAGTTGGAGGGAGAGAAGAGAGGGGGGGAAGATGTTGGAGAGAAGAGAGGGGGGGAAAGATGAGGGAGAGTTGGAGGGAGAGAAGAGAGGGGGGGAAAGATGAGGGAGAGTTGGAGGGAGAGAAGAGAGGGGGGGGAAAGATGAGGGAGAGTTGGAGGGGGAGAAGAGAGTAGAGGGGGGGGGGAGATGAGGGGGAGAAGAGAGGGCGAAATGGGGAAAGAGGAGGTGAATATTGGGAGAGAGGAGGGGTAAGAGGGGATACTGCAGCCTTGGTCAGGAGAGGAGATGAGAACAGAAGAGAACAAATTGTTTCAAACAGACTTACTCACTTCTGTTTTTAGTCTTCCATGAATAACCTCTGCATAAAGTTACCTTTATCATTTATCTGGTCATTAAGTTACCTCTATCGCTTATCTGGTCATTAAGTTACCTTTATCGCTTATCTGGTCATTAAGTTACCTCTATCGCTTATCTGGTCGACATTATATTTCTCGACTATGTCTTGGAAAAGGTCACATCAACCTGAAACATCAAACACATTAAATGTAGACTCAGCGTTATGACGTTGCCACGAGCAGCACCGCAGATATTAAGATGAGCATGATGCAAGACCTTGCTCTCACACAGTCACACAGAGTATATGCGTGACTGCTACAGCATGGTAGCTACGGGACCAAAACAGTGGAGAGGTTTAGCCTCGTGCTTCAACACTCTTAGTTGTGGAAATCGGCCCGATATTCTGTTTACTTCGTGCATCGCTGAGTTTACCTTTAACAGTAAAACTTTAACTTAACGTACAGTGATACTGTGATGTGTAGGTTGGGGTCTGCTTATAACACTAGTGTCTGTGTGTGTAGGTTGGGGTCTGTGTGCGGCTAAGGCACAGTACCCCATCGCTGACATGGTGAAGATGCTGGTAGAGCAGGGCAAGACTGTCAGGTAGGTCCTCACAATACATCTCTCTGTCTCCTCAATCATCCCTCTTTCTCTCTCCTCAATCATCCCTCTCTCGGTCTCCTCAATCATCCCTCTTTCTCTCTCCTCAATCATCCCTCTTTCTCTCTCCTCAATCATCCCTCTTTCTCTCTCCTCAATCATCCCTCTCTCGGTCTCCTCAATCATCCCTCTTTCTCTCTCCTCAATCATCCCTCTCTCCTCAATCATCCCTCTCTCCTCAATCATCCCTCTCTCCTCAATCATCCCTCTTTCTCTCTCCTCAATCATCCCTCTCTGTCTCCTCAATCATCCCTCTTTCTCTCTCCTCAATCATCCCTCTTTCTGTCTCCTCAATCATCCCTCTCTCTGTCTCCTCAATCATCCCTCTCTGTCTCCTCAATCATCCCTCTCTCTGTCTCCTCAATCATCCCTCTCTTCTCAATCATCCCTCTTTCTCTCTCTCTCTCTCATCCCTCTTTCACTGTCCTTTATTTTAGTTGGTTACCATCAGTCCTCCTGTCACAGAGTGAGATAACGATATATTTCTGTATTAGTCTGAGTTCTAAAATAACATTATTTCCAGTTAGTTTTACTTATCCTACTGACCATCTTGAGTTTCCTGGTCAGGAACACTGGCAGGTCACCTCTTATGTTCAAGGAAGACTTTAGAGTGGAAAACATCTTTATTCTCCAAATACAGAGCAAAGCTGTTAAGCCCTGACTGACTGAGGGATTGCATGTAGACATTATTAATGCGTGTGCTTGTTTTTCTGCGTGTTTGTGTGCACGTGTGTCTCTAGGTTTGGTATCCACCCTGTGGCAGGTCGTATGCCAGGCCAGCTGAACGTGCTCCTGGCTGAGGCTGGAGTTCCATATGACGTGGTTCTGGAGATGGATGAGATCAATGAGGACTTCAAAGGTCAGAACACACACACACTGATCAATATACTTAACAAAAATATAAACGCAACATGTAAAGTGTTGGTCCCATTATTCATGAGCTGAAACAAAAGATCCCAGAAATTTTCCATACGCACAAAAGGCTTATGTCTCAAATTCATAAATTTGTTTACATCCCTGTTAGTGAGCATTTATCCTTTGCCAGGATAATCTGTCCACCTGACAGTTGTGGCATTTCAAGAAGCTGATTAAACAGCATGATCATTACACAGGTGCACCTTCTGCTGGGGACAGTAAAAGGCTACTCTAAAATGTGTCACACAACACAATGCCACAGATGTGTCAACTTTTGAGGGCGTGTGCAATTGGCATGCTGACTGCTGGAATGTCCAACAGAGCTGTTGCCAGAAAATGTAATGTTTATTTCTCTACCATAAGCCGCCTCCAACGTAGTTTTAGAGAATTTGGCAGACCACGTGTAACCACGCCAGCCCAGGACCTCCACATCCGGCTTCTTCAGCTGCAGGATCGTCTGAGGGGGGGGTGCTGAGGAGTATTTCTGTCTGTAATAAAGCCCTTTTGTGGGGAAAAACGAATTCTATTTGGCTGGGCTTGGCTCCCCAGTGGGTGGACCTGGCTCCCAAGTGGCTGCGCCAATGCCCATTCATGTGAAGTCCATAGATTAGGGCCTAATTTATTTATTTAAATTGATTGATTTCCTTCTATGAACTGTAACTCAGTAAAATCGTTGAATTTGTTGCATGTTGCGTTTTTATATTTTTGTTTAATCGATTTGATCATAACAACCAGCAGGCATCCCTCAGACACTTGGTTGTGTTTGTAGCGCTGCCTGGCTGGGTCCATCCATAGTTCCGCCAGGGTCTCTACTGGTTTTACTGAATGTCTGGTGTGTGTTTCCCACAGAGACGGACCTGACACTGGTGGTGGGTGCTAATGACACAGTGAACTCAGCAGCCCAGGAGGACCCCAACTCCATCATCGCTGGCATGCCAGTCCTGGAGGTCTGGAAGTCCAAACAGGTAGGGAAGGAAGAAGATAGTGTAAGAGTATTAGTACAGGGCCCTCTCACTGGTTTACGGAAGGAAGGATGCATAATATGGCCTTGTTGTTCTCCAGTGTTGAGGACTAAGCACTCCTACGCTTTGGGTGACAAGGGCTCTCACAGGTAGAGCATAAAAAGAGCTTGTGAAGTGCACTGTCATACTTCTGTTCCTCTGTAGGGGATTGTGATGAAGGGGCTCTGGGACTAGTTACAAATATATATAATTCTGACACTTTATTTCCACCAGCCATACTCAACAGGTGGACTGTGGTTCAAATCCGGACCCAGAATAGGGTCAATACAGAATGCGGGTCCCAAACATTTTTTTATTTTTTTTATTCGGGCCTTGACCCCTGGTATCATATGAACACGGCAAAATGTGTAGAATTGCAGGAAATTAGCTGCACATTTTTCTCTCCGCCAACAAGAGGGGTGTGAACCGTTTGGGGTTGTGAGGTGGGGGTTTGTTACTACGCCGATAAATGACAATATATGGACCTTTTCCGCGTAGGAAATTTGTGTGACCGGACCTTCTCAAATAGTACTTCCGTACCCGATTTAGACAGTTGGAAACAGAGGGGGAGACAGGCAAGTGGGAGGAAGGGTGGACATGGGGATCAAACCCCGGTCTCCGGTGGGAAGAGGAATATAAAACGTGATGTTAGCCATTGTCTAACCTGTTCCCCTCCCTGTACTGTAGGTGATTGTGATGAAGAGGACCATGGGTGTGGGCTATGCTGCTGTAGACAACCCCATCTTCTACAAGCCCAACACATCCATGCTGCTGGGAGACGCCAAGAAGACCTGCGACACACTACAGGCCAAGATCAGAGAGGCCTACTACTAGAACACATGGAGAGATGGACAGTACAGCACACACACACTCCCCATTGGCTTTACGGATGGATTTATTTGTCGTTAATCCAGATGCAGGTGTATGGTTCTGTTAAGATTAGGAAACAACAATCGCAACGTAGAGTATTTTTACACTTAGTGGCTTGATGATTGAGGTCCTCAGTACATGTAATGATTATTGGATGTTGGACAGTGATGATGATGTTGAACCAAAGGTGTGGAAGCGACTATGAAATTACTTCTTTAAATTGGAGAAATGTAATTATTTAAATTAACCCATTCTGCATGCACTGCCTGCCCTGATTTGTAAATAAAAATATGTTTAAATGTGATCTGTCGGCTAGAGTTCCCTATTCAATTGCATCTGTAAGAGCTTGTCATGTATAATTTCACACGCTATCATTGAGCAGCACCATTTGGAGATAAAGCCACATACTGCCAGTAGCTAACGGTAGATTGGCTCTCAACAAGTAAACACCAGCAGCTCCAAACCAGCCTGTTAAAGGTAATGGAGCCTACATGCGCAGCTTCATCATTCATTTAAAAGCTGCATTGTCAGCTGTCCAGCGTAATGAACTCAATCCCAGCCTTTATCAAAATCTTTCAACTTCAGTAGTCACATATACTCACAGTAAATGCAGTATATTTTCTTTAGTAATTTTATACAGAACACATGAACACAGACCAGGGGCCTCATGTATCAATCTTGCGTACGCACGAAAACACGGCGTACGCCAGCTTTCACGTTCACGGTCAGATGTACTAACAGTGAAATTAACGTAAGAATGTGCGTTCTTCCACGTAAACTTCAGGCCTGGCGTACATACATTTTTGTGATGTTTGTCCGTTGGCGACTCATAGAGGCAATAAAGTGAAGTGGCAAACATTACACTACGAACTGTTCTATCGCACCTGCCAGATATTGCTTATAATTTGTAATTGATAAATGATTTGCCATATTATTGTCACACGAGTCTTATTAGAATATTCTATTAATTATGCAATTAAGTAAGAACATATATAAAGGATGTGAAAATTGATACAACCCGTCTAGCAATGGCAGCTTTGGCTTTATTAGAAGACATTTTCAATGGACAAATCCGGAGAGAACGAGTTTTTAGGGACCACGGTGATTTTCTGGCCCACGACGATGACTGGCTCATCAGCCGTTTCAGATTTCCAAGGGCTATACTCTTGGAGCTCTGCGCTGAGTTGGGTCCGAATTTGGAAAGAGAGACAGTGAGGAGCCACGCATTACCCGTTCCTTTACAGGTGCTTACTACACTTGGTTTCCTAGCAACCGGTTCTTTCCAAAGAGAACTGGCAGACCGCTCAGGAATAAGCCAGTCGTGTTTGAGCCGTGCAATGCCACCTGTATGGGACGGCATCATCCGCTTGTCTACCAGGTATATAACGTTCCCATACGATGCAGGTGACCAGCCAAACATCAAAGCGCAATTTGCAGCGATAGCCGGTTTTCCTAATGTAATCGGAGCGATCGACTGCACACATATTGCTATAAAGGCGCCATCTGAAGACGAATTTGCATATGTGAATCGGAAACATTTCCATTCAATAAATGTGCAGATTATATGTAATGCACAAATGCGCCTAACAAATATTGTGGCAAGGTGGCCTGGGTCAACCCATGATTCATATATCCTTACAAACAGCATGGTTGGGATGAGACTCCAAGCTGGCAGGGTGCGCGATGGGTGGCTACTTGGTAAGTTATGCATTTAAATGTATGGTTCTATCTAAAAGTAAAATGTTTGTGTCTGTAATTATTATTACTGCCCATCAGGAGACAGTGGTTATCCACTAAAGACGTGGCTGTTAACCCCCCTCACCAACCCACAAACTGACCGAGAGCGCAGATACAATGATGCCCATTCCCGCACTCGGTCAGTTGTGGAGCGGGCGATTGGGCAGCTGAAATGTCGGTGGCGCTGCCTTGACAGGACCGGGGGGATGCTGTTATACCGCCCTGACAAGGTTTGCCGCATCATACTGGCCTGTGGAGTGCTGCACAATGTCGCGCACAGGCATGGCATACCCCTTGGTGAGGTGGGGGCACCGCCAGATGACCCTGACCCAGGACCAGTATATGTGCAGCACAATCAACAAGCCATTCAGGCCCGTCAACGTGTAATTGCGACAATATAAATGGTACTCAGACACAAAGTTCATTTTTTGACCAATTCTTTTAATGAATGGCTTATTTCTGTGAGTGCGTCAGTGACATTTTTAAGGTGACTGTTCATTTCTTCAATGGCCCTAACAATTTGTTGTTATGACTCCAGAACAGCATGCGTCAAGACACGGCCAGATGGACGGGCTTCAGCACTGGGGGGAACATTAGAGACACGGGAGACGCTGGACTGAATGGGCTCTGGCTGCTCAGGTGGTGCGGACTCTGAGTGCGTGCCAGTGGACGTTCCTGCGGTTCCTAAGTCCAATTAAACACAGGCACATCTTAACAGTAATTTGAGTCTGTTCCTTATTAATGGGTACACGCATTTGCAATAAAAGCAGTGGATACGTGAAATCTCTGGTGTACCTTTTGCTATATTGCATGCATTTTAAAATTAAACGGTGGCTGGCTATGTATATCAAAGTTAAGGAAATAAATCTGAGTCACCTTGCTGGCAGTCCTGTAGTATATCCGAGTCTCCTACATCAGCGGATACGATTCCAGAGATTAACGTCTCTCCTACAATAGAGGCAACTCTCTGATCAAAGGGTGCAAGTTCATCGGTCCCTGTACCACCGCCTGTTCTGCCCACACTTTGTCGGTGCGCAGCAGTTCTCCGCTTAACTTCCACCTTTATGTCTGACCATTTCTTCTTCAGTTCATTTACGGTGCGACTCTCAGATCCCACCGCGTTGACGGCATCAGACAAACTCGCCCACTCTTTTTTCTTTCTTTTGTTATTAATTCCAGAGGACAGATTTCCAAATAAAATATTTTTTCTTGTTTCTACCTCTGATAGTAGCACCTCTAATTCGTTTTCAGTGAAATTTCGTTTCTTGCTTGCTTTAGCCATGTTCTTGCAGGTTTCTTTTGCCAAATTGGACTAATTACCATATTTAAATTGATTTAATTGAGGGAGGAGACAGGGTGTGGTGTGGTGCTCGTGCATGTGCGCTCAATTTCACGTTGATTGGGATGTACAAAGAGAATGTATGTGGAATGCTGCGTACGCAGAGATTCATACATCAGATTTTTTTGGTGCGTACGCACATTTATGGCTTTGTCCGTACGCAATGTTTTAGTATGAATTCAACGCAAGTCTTTGTACATGAGGCCCCAGGTGATCTACTGTTCATAATTCAACATGACATTGTTGCGCAGTAACAACCACAACCATTCTTTAGAACATCACATCTGATGGGTGAACCTGAATCACTGACATAGACAGCACCAAGAGTTTCATCAAACAGTTTTGATTTAATTAGATCTGTACTTAGTAGTCCTCTCTACATAAATATCACAGTTCTCCTGGCTCAGAGTTTTAGACAGTAGCTAGGTTTCCATCCAATTAACGAGTTTCATTCGAATATTCTAAAATCTGCATAAAAACAATATGTGGTTTCCCACCAGAGACATGTTTTCATCAAATTGACTTGTTGTGGATAAAAGTCTGTGTGATGTAGTGCACATAAAAATAACTGTAAAAAATGTAATGGGTTTCCATCAATTTTTTTTAACTCTGATGGTTTCGTCCCAACAAATGTTGCGTTATATAGCAAATGGTTCCACTCTGGTCTTTGCATGTGCGCTCTAGCCAACAGCTGGCACTCGCAGATACAGTGTGGGTATAGCCTACCTGATGAGATTATTATGGACGAAAGAGCGAGATTATTTTTTATTTGTCAAACGGCAGCAAAGCATCGATCATCATGCCACCAGAATACGACCCCCAATATTTATTGGAAAGAAGCATCAAGCTCATCACCTTGCACTTTCACCACCCTGTGAAGTTCATAACATATTTAACCTGTAGCCTAATAAAATGCATATCAACATATCACAATATTTGCGCCTAAAAGCGTTTCCACCGCCATTTCTCGCATAATACATTTTACCGACACAAAAAGACCCCACCTTGTCTAGAGTATTGTTTTGTCGACATTTGGAAAGTTTACATCAGGCCTGTTGTGACATTTTATCTGACCTACTTTACTCTCATAAAAAGGTTGTCAGCGATTATATATTTTTTGGCCTTGGTGGTGATTGTGTGTAGGTAGGTTCTTGTCTCCAGTCTCAGCGTCTTCCTGCGGTAGTTTTGGCCTCTCTCTGTCTCCTCCCTGCAGTCTCAGCGTCTCCCAGCGGTTGTCTTAGCATTGTTGATCAGTGTGTGTAGGTAACAGTAGAAGTACATCAGGTTGTCATACTGTCCTGTGTACTCCTGTCTCAGACACAACTCCTGGTAGTCCTTGAGGAAGTAGTAGACAGCCTCTATGGTTGCCAGGTAGGTGTCTGGAGAACCCTTCTGATGGCGCCAGAAACATGTCTTCCTGGTCTTCAGCTCCACACGGAGCAACGCTGCAGGGACAGAGAGAGGAACAGTCCATCAGTCATTAGCAGGGCTTTAGCTCCACACGGAGCAACGCTGCAGGGACAGAGAGAGGAACAGTCCGTCAGTCATTAGCAGGGCTTTAGCTCCACACGGAGCAACGCTGCAGGGACAGAGAGAGGAACAGTCCATCAGTCATTAGCAGGGCTTTAGCTCCACACGGAGCAACGCTGCAGGGACAGAGAGAGGAACAGTCATTAGCAGGGCTTTAGCTCCACACGGAGCAACGCTGCAGGGACAGAGAGAGGAACAGTCATTAGCAGGGCTTTAGCTCCACACGGAGCAACGCTGCAGGGACAGAGAGAGGAACAGTCCGTCAGTCATTAGCAGGGCTTTAGCTCCACACGGAGCAACGCTGCAGGGACAGAGAGAGGAACAGTCCATCAGTCATTAGCAGGGCTTTAGCTCCACACGGAGCAACGCTGCATGGACAGAGAGAGGAACAGTCATTAGCAGGGCTTTAGCTCCACACGGAGCAACGCTGCAGGGACAGAGAGAGGAACAGTCATTAGCAGGGCTTTAGCTCCACACGGAGCAACGCTGCAGGGACAGAGAGAGGAACAGTCATTAGCAGGGCTTTAGCTCCACACGGAGCAACGCTGCAGGGACAGAGAGAGGAACAGTCCATCAGTCATTAGCAGGGCTTTAGCTCCACACGGAGCAACGCTGCAGGGACAGAGAGAGGAACAGTCCATCAGTCATTAGCAGGGCTTTAGCTCCACACGGAGCAACGCTGCAGGGACAGAGAGAGGAACAGTCCATCAGCCATTAGCAGGGCTTTAGCTCCACACGGAGCAACGCTGCAGGGACAGAGAGAGGAACAGTCATTAGCAGGGCTTTAGCTCCACACGGAGCAACGCTGCAGGGACAGAGAGAGGAACAGTCATTAGCAGGGCTTTAGCTCCACACGGAGCAACGCTGCAGGGACAGAGAGAGGAACAGTCCATCAGCCATTAGCAGGGCTTTAGCTCCACACGGAGCAACGCTGCAGGGACAGAGAGAGGAACAGCCATTAGCAGGGCTTTAGCTCCACACGGAGCAACGCTGCAGGGACAGAGAGAGGAACAGTCCATCAGTCATTAGCAGGGCTTTAGCTCCACACGGAGCAACGCTGCAGGGACAGAGAGAGGAACAGTCCATCAGTCATTAGCAGGGCTTTAGCTCCACACGGAGCAACGCTGCAGGGACAGAGAGAGGAACAGTCATTAGCAGGGCTTTAGCTCCACACGGAGCAACGCTGCAGGGACAGAGAGAGGAACAGTCCATCAGTCATTAGCAGGGCTTTAGCTCCACACGGAGCAACGCTGCAGGGACAGAGAGAGGAACAGTCCATCAGCCATTAGCAGGGCTTTAGCTCCACACGGAGCAACGCTGCAGGGACAGAGAGAGGAACAGTCATTAGCAGGGCTTTAGCTCCACACGGAGCAACGCTGCAGGGACAGAGAGAGGAACAGTCCATCAGTCATTAGCAGGGCTTTAGCTCCACACGGAGCAACGCTGCAGGGACAGAGAGAGGCACAGTCCATCAGTCATTAGCAGGGCTTTAGCTCCACACGGAGCAACGCTGCATGGACAGAGAGAGGAACAGTCATTAGCAGGGCCAGGAGTTTTTACTGTTCACGTTGTGACCCGACCAGTAAAAACTCTGGGCTTTAGTTGTAGGCTATAACTAGGTAATAACAAAGTAGTTCCCCCTCATATAATGTACAGCACTTTAAGCTACATCAATGCTATATCTATCATAATTACCCTGTAGTCTCTCATCTGTGATGATTCTGTTGGTCTGGTTCCATGTGCTGTCGATGAACACCACTCTCTGGAGGGGACAGGCCCCTGGTGTCTCAGTTTGGCCCTCTAACCCTGCTTCCCCTCCCCTCTCTTCTGTGTGCGTGGCCCCTGATGTCTGTCCCTCAGCCTGCTGTGTGGCCCCTGGCGCCTCCTCAGCTTTGGGCCTCTTCGGGGAAGGTTCCTCCTCTGGGGAGGCAGCTGACTTCATGTCAGCCAGGTTCTGTAATCTCTGCGACATCTCCTCCACCGAGACTGATCCAGGACCAGGGAACACCAGCACTACCTAAACATGCACGCACACACACGAACACGCACATAATACTTGTCATTTCAAGTCAATACAAATGGTATTAATGTTATCTAATCAGGTTACGTTAGAATGACATTCATTTTTATGTATATGATAGACAAAGTTGTTCTCTGTATATTTGTTCATATGAAGATGAGGAAAGCTGACTAACTTTGTCTGTTTCATCTTCATACTCAGGTATGCAGGGGTAGGTGTAGATGGTGACATCATCAGGAGCGAGGATCTTGGCGTGTATGGCTGTGCTCTTCCCATCAACCTCACTGGGATGCTTGATGATGTCAATCTTTATAGGGAGCTGAAACACAACAGTTAGAGGAACTTTACAGTGTGACCAACCATGTTCATCAATTACACAGTTAGAGGAACTTTACAGTGTGACCAACCATGTTCATCAATTACACAGTTAGAGGAACTTTACAGTGTGACCAACCATGTTCATCAATTACACAGTTAGAGGAACTTTACAGTGTGACCAACCATGTTCATCAATTACAGTTCAGGTATTAACAACAACAGTCAACACATGTACTGTGAATTGTGTCTAAAACGTGTATCTATACCTACACCATAAGCTTGATAATTACTTGAATCAGATGTGTTCTTTCATGCTGGGCTGTAACAAAAGCCTGCATCTGCACCAGAACCGAAGAACACTTCAATCTTGTGTGTGAGGCACCGTAAGTAGTACTACTATCTCTGACACCCATCTCTGCAGGCTAGTGCTTTAATAAGACCAATCAGATTAAACCACTACAAGCCTGTGTTGTGTTGTGCATAATAGGACCAATAAGGTGAACCGAGACCCAGATCTTTCCCTGACCTTGACGGAGGGGATTTCCTGCTGGCTGACGCCCACTAAAGAACAGCAGGTGTAGCAGAAGAACATCCGGGAGCCTCCGCAGCTAGAACACTTCAGCCTGCCCCTCTGCTGTGCCTGCTCCAGCACCCTGTGGGGGGCCAGCTTCAGACCACGGAGGGGAGGGGAGGCAGGGACAGGGTTCTGTTTGGTTACTGGTTTGGAGTTGTTGTCAGGATGTTGGGTTTTAGCCTGTGTTGATTTGGGAGAGGAGGACACGTCCGAACTGGACATCCTGCTGACTGACAACAAACAAACCATCAAACTGGAGAATCAGGTGCACAGCCTGGGACGTAGTTATACCAGTTAGCTCGGTAGCTGACTCGCTACTAAGCAAATAACAACAAATACGTTATGTATGTGTGCTATAGTCAAATGATGTCTGGAAAGCGGCAGTAGCTACACTATTAGTATTCTGCCAGCAGCACAAACAATGACATCACTTTCGTATGGTAATGAGAACCCCCCCCCCCAAAAAAAAGACTGCATTTCAAAACACTGCAACGTGGATAACTCAAAAGATATAGAATTTTAAATCAATGGCCACTTCTATTGTGACAAGAAAATGCAATGAGTCATTTATATATATATTTTAAAAAAGGGGTAAAAAGGTTTTAAATACATTATTAATACCAATAATTAAAAAATACAATGTTGACACTTGTATGTTGAGAATATTGGTCTATAGAGAGAGAACTTTTCTACCCATCTCAGCTAAAGTGGGGTGGGAAATACTCAGTAGTTTCTCTACTGACCAAATATGGTTAGCTTGGAGTGGGACTGTGTCCTACATACCCAGCAGCACTTCGTTCTCAGTCCCATCTTGAATGCCCAATGCAATATACTGTAATAGACTGTACATGGGAAATATATTGGCTTGTAGAGAGAAAGGTAGAAAAGTTGTCTCAGCTAAAGTGGGTTGGGAAATACTCAGTAGGGTCTCTACCAGGGTTTGCGTTAGCTGGTAATTTCCGTTTTTTGGACGCAATTTTTTTTAATGCCGATAAAAAATACATAAAGCCGACAAATAAAAACAGTATAAAATATACTGCTGAAAATTCCGGTTCTTTCACATTCATCTCTATACTCTGCCTGTCTCCCTCCCTTTCTATCGGTCTTGGCTTGAGCTATCACTAGTGAAGTGCAACATTGTATCAAATCAATCAACTGGAACCGGCCGGAAGCTGTCTCTAGCGAACTTGCAACGATCAACGAGTCTATTACGGGCCCTCAGAGTTTCCCGTGTTTTTGAGCAAGGGGAAGGTATTTTATGACTTTTCCACTGAATATATGGAATCATCCGATTGTGATATTTTGCTGTTTCACACCGAGGCTTGGTGATTATCGAGGGGGAGATTGTTGGAAATTGTTTTCAAATAGGCCTACTGTGAGGAACTATTAGGCTATCATTCGCAATGGATGAAAAAAATATATATAATAATACTTTGTTGACTTACTGTGTGAGGTGAAGAAAAAATGACTGAGAAGCTCAGCTTTTTAGTGGTGGACGTGGTGATTTAATGGGCATTTTCTTACATTTGCCCGTAGCAGGACAAGTAGGCTACTTCTATGCGTGCTCAGGCGCGCGTGCTCCCTCAACATTAACAACACCCATGCTCACATGGAGCACTCCAAACAAAAGACAATGAGTACAATGACTACTGAGTATTTCCCAACCCACTTTAGCTGAGACTGGTCGAAATATTCTCTCTACAAGCCAATATGTATCCCATGTACAGTCTATTACAGTGTATTGCATTGGGACCTATAGAGTGGGCGGAGTGAAAAGCCAGCAGCAGGCTATGAGAGAAAGCCGAGTAGCCGGCTGTTGGAGAAGATGGATTTCGGCCAACATTCTGCACATTTTCTCATTGATGAAACATTTGATCTCAGTACGGTTTTCTGTTCCCAAAACTATAATATGTTATGAACAGAGTGGACTGCGTTTTGTAGACTTTAACCTTTGTCAAAGTTGTAAAAAATCGCGTTGTTTAGGCGTGCAAAGGCGATTTCAGTTTTTTGCACAGAGTAGGCGTTCCCTAACGGAAATATGCAGATGTGGCTAGAACGGGCAAATAGGATCTCGCTAGCTCGTGTTTGGCTCTGCCCACCTCCTTGTTTGTTCTGCCCACTATTACTCATTAGTTCCCATTAGAAACGACAGGCTGTGGTCTATCTTGGTTTAGTTATAAACATCTTTGGTTGTACTGCACTAGAGTGCTAAAAAAATGTATATTACCAAAGTTTAGCATGTCTTTGCAGGGGGACTGCCAGTATAATATCATGTTGCTAGGAGAACGGTAATGTCAGCACTGAAGTGTGCAAGCAAAGAGTTTTATAACTAACCCATTGTGCTATCTGTGGTGCAAGCTTACAAGCTAATTAGCTAGAATCTTGTTGCAGCTAACGATAGCTAGCTAAATTAGCTTGTAGCTTGAGGCTATAAACACGTTCATATAGCGATACAACTAATGCTTTTATCTAACAGTGGAAGACAGAAAGCACATTTCATTAACGTTACCTGTTTAAAATGTGACTTTATCCAGTTGATTTAGAGCAATTGTCGATGTTTTCTGAAGCAGAGCAAGCATGGACTCTTTCTACGCCGGAAGTGTTAACCGGAAGAAGTTAGCGGGGCGCATGTTGATGATAGCTGTTACCTAGCAACGGAACACGTGTAATATTTTGACAGTCAGGATCAGAGGGCTGAGCATCTTTGGAGGGTACGAGAGACAAAACATGGCTAAACAACAAGACCTGGAGGACGGTGAAGAAATCCTGAGCACGTTTGAAAAGTTTGTTCGGAATCAGGGACTGGTAAGAAAAGCCTTATAAACAATGGTTATTTATTAGATACTGCTGCCAATGTGTTGTTTTAACGTTTGCTAACGTTAACAAGTAGTTCATAGCACAGTCCAGGCAAGATTACATAGTGTAGGCAATGTTGTTTTCTACCATGTGTTAAGCTGTAAGAATACATTAACGTGTTAATTGTATAGGTATTTGAGATGGATAACAACATGATAATAATCAACATAAATACTCACATATAACAAATAGGCCTACATCATGATACTGAAACGGTCTCTCAACATTTTCTGTAGGTTGACTGGCCCGTTGCGTTTGAGGAGAATATAGAGATATCATCACACTTCAAACATTACAGTCATCCCAGACAGATATATGACTACTTTAAAGTAAACGTGCCATTCCCAGTGGACGTCGCCATGTCCTTCTCCAAGAGCATAGAGGAGCTATATTCCAAAATAAAACTACATGCATCCATAATCTCACAAGAACAGAGCAAAAACAAGAATGCGGAGTCAGTGTTTGATGACGTTAATAAATGTAAGTAGCTACACTACCCACAGCTCTCAAATTCACCATCAGGCCAAATTGTGCATTTCGAACCCAGTCTCAACGAAACAGGGCTGCTGTGAAGTGGTGATAACATTGCCATTATCTCAATGTTTCTTTCTCAGATAAAATGTATGTGGAAAGAGCACATCGAATCATGAAAGAACAGGTAATGATTTTCAGACAGTGAAATTGCAGAGGAGCAGTTATAGTTATTTGTATTAGATTGTATAATTTATATAGGATGATTCTGATTTACAACAACATTGACTGTTCATTTCCAGAGTGAGGCAGTGTCGCGGAGCTTGGACATCAAGGTGAGTCTGTTGTCTTGTCTGTTTATGGCTCTTTACACCATGAGGGCATTATCTCTCTGGTGTTTACTTAGTTAGACTAATGAGTTGTGTTTCTCCAGGACTATGACTACCCAGGGTTTGATGCAGTCGTGGATACTGACATCCCAGGACATCCTGATGCCTTACAACATTTGGACAGTGTCTCAGAGGCCCAAGGCTTCAATGTACGTACCTGCAATCTCATATCTACTCAGTGTGTGTGTGTGTGTGTGTGTGGTGTGGCCAGTGTTCTGCTCTCTCTCATCACAGGGGAATACTGTGGCAGCTCTGCAACCAATCATGTTAATCTAAGGAGTAGCCAGGCTCCTATTAAAGTCCTGTAGTATTAACAGTCTCAGGTTGCATCCCAAATGGTACCCTATTCCCTATATAGTGCACTACTTTTAATCAGGGCCCATAGAGTTTCCCATAGGGTTCTGGTCAAAAGTAGTGCACTATACAGTATACAGAAACAGAGAGACAAATGAAATGCAGAGTAAACCAGCGCTGGGCTAGGTCTTATTTATGACCAGAAACACTAATATCCATCCATCTCGCTGAAAGCCAGATGTGGTCGGTCCGGGTGATGGAGAGCAGACTTGTTATGTTATGTCAGGTTTCACAGATACCTGAGCGGTCACAGCTTTTAGGAAAAAGAGAAAGGGATCGCATGCAAACTTCGCATGCACGTCAAGCACATGTGTATTGAATGTGGCCCTCTCCCGCTCTCGGTGCATGCGATCGGATTCGACTGCATTCCAAACACACATGATTAATCTCTCACATATGTACTGTAGCTATGCTGCTGTGTGCCAGTCTTTAATGGCAGGGTGGATTGGTATTCAATGAGAAGTAGATTAGAGATTAGCTAGTTATCTGTAATGCTTTATTTAACACTCCTGTGTCAGCTGGTATTTACCAACACAATTGTTAACTACCTACCAACAGGTAAGGACATGGTGCCTGTTTCAATGAGTTATCAAAATACTAAAGCATAATTCTTATGCAATTCTTATGTAATTACCACTTTGCAATTACCATTTAATTGCTGTGTACATAACAGGACAATTCCATCTCATTGGGGTTAGGCTAATCATCATTAATCCTGCTGTGTGTGTGTGCATGTGTGTGTATGATTCTTTACTGCAGCCAGGCTTCCTGAAGATCTGGAGGCCGTTCTTTCTGTGTGATCTGTCCGTGGCTGTTCTCAAAGACACATTCTGGTGGTTCTTCCTCCACAGATTTAAGGTGACTTCACTCCAACCTTTGTGATGCACTGTATCAACGCACAATGCTACAAAAACATGTAACTATGATACATATCCGTAGTAATATGAGGCAGATGATGGGGGAGACAGTACAGTACATCCATCACTGGTAATACAGTATTTATAGATGAATGTGATTTAGAGGAAAAAGCATGCAGTGAAAATTATCTTATCTGACGGTTTCTGCCAGATTCCACAACTAAGTTATGATATACTCAGTATTAAGCAGAGGCAGTCTTACGCACGTATGCACAATATAACGTGAAATATCAAAATATTGTACGTAATTGGTCTTGATAAAGTTGAGTAAAGGATGAAATGTAGGGCTCTGTGCGAACACTTATTTTAGAATATGTTCTGACTGTACAGTAGTTGTTGGATGCTGTCAGGTTAGGTAGCCTGCAGTACCTTACAGTGTGGAACTGTGTGTCAATACCCTCCCAGCCTAACGTGGAGGAGGAGAGCCAGTTGTTTGATCGTATCTCTGGAGCCTTTGTCTCTCTGCTGATGACTGTTCAGATGGACCTGAAGGACAAGCTCTTTAAGGTACTTATATTTAACAAACACTGTTATCCAGAGGGATTTACATTCAGCACATTCAGCTATCACAATCTTTGTAGAACCTTCTTCAAAAAGTTGCTGCTATCTGCAAAATCAGTGCTAGTAACTTACTTGAAGAATAGTGTGAGTGTTTGTGCAAGACAAGACAAATCCAGCAGTCACAGTAAAGCCTGTGTGTGTTCCAGGTGTATGCAGACTGCCTGGCCCAGGCGGTCTACGGAGCGTTCTACAGAGCGTTCCCTGAGTCCATGGAACGTCTAGGCAATGACTTCAAGACAGACCTAACTGACCTCATCTCCCTCTGGGTATCAGGTTAGTGTTAGTGTTTGGGTCTGGTGATCATCGCATGCAACCACATCACGCTGTATTTAAAGTACAGTTAAACATCTCAATGCATTACAGACTTTCTAAACAACAAAATGACATACTCTAAATGACAAAGAACAACAAAGATCAAATCAAAATGTATTTGTCACATGCTTGGTAAACAACAGGTGTAGACTAACAGTGAAATGCTTGCTTACGGGCCCTTCTCAACAATGCAGAGAGAACAATATAAACATTTTAGAAAAATATTAATTACACGAGGAATAAATACACAATGAGTAACGATAACTTGATATATACACGGAATACCAGTACCGAGTCCATGTGCAAGGGTACGATGTAATTGAGGTAGATATGTACATATAGATAGTGGTAAAGTGACTACGCATCAGGATAGATAATAAACAGTAGCAGCTGTGATGAGTCAAAAGAGTTAGTCCAGAAAGGGTCAATGCAGATAGTCCCGGTAGCTATTTAGTTAACTATTTAGCAGTCTTATGGCTTGGGGGTAGAAGCTTTTCAGGGTGTTGTTGGTTCCAGACTTGGTCCATTGGTATCGCTTGCCGTTCGGTAGCAGAGAGACCAGTCTATGACATAGGTGGCTGGTGTCTGACAGTTTTTAGTGCCTTCCTTTGATAAGAACAACATACAGTTAGTGTTTAAAAATAGTTAGTCTCCTGTGTGTCTCTGTTAGGTGTGAAGCCCACCATGTTGTCGTGGCAGAGCTGGAACCTGGGCTGGCTGGATCCTGTAGACACGTCCGGGGAGAGCCATGGAGAGTCAGCATGTGGTAAGACCTGATCTACTGACCTGTTGTTTCAGATTCACAGAGGGTTTACATCTAGCTACTGACCTGTTGTTTCAGATTTGCTGAGGGTTTACATCTAGCTACTGACCTGTTGTTTCAGATTTACTGAGGGTTTACATCTACTGACCTGTTGTTTCAGATTGACTAAGGGTTTAGGCTAAACCTACTGACCTGTTGTTTCAGACTGACTGAGGGTTTAGGCTAAACCTACTGACCTGTTGTTTCAGACTGACTGAGGATTTAGGCTAAACCTACTGACCTGTTGTTTCAGATTGACTAAGGGTTTAGGCTAAACCTACTGACCTGTTGTTTCAGACTGACTGAGGGTTTAGGCTAAACCTACTGACCTGTTGTTTCAGACTGACTGAGGGTTTAGGCTAAACCTACTGACCTGTTGTTTCAGACTGACTGAGGGTTTAGGCTAAACCTACTGACCTGTTGTTTCAGACTGACTGAGGGTTTAGGCTAAACCTACTGACCTGTTGTTTCAGACTGACTGAGGGTTTAGGCTAAACCTACTGACCTGTTGTTTCAGATTTACTGAGGGTTTAGGCTAAACCTACTGACCTGTTGTTTCAGATTTACTGAGGGTTTACATCTACTGACCTGTTGTTTCAGATTTATTGAGGGTTTAGGCTAAACCTATTGACCTGTTGTTTCAGATTGACTGAGGGTTTAGGCTAAACCTACTGACCCGTTGTTTCAGATTGACTGAGGGTTTAGGCTAAACCTACTGACCTGTTGTTTCAGATTGACTGAGGGTTTAGGCTAAACCTACTGACCCGTTGTTTCAGACTGACTGAGGGTTTAGGCTAAACCTACTGACCCGTTGTTTCAGATTGACTAAGGGTTTAGGCTAAACCTACTGACCTGTTGTTTCAGACTGACTGAGGGTTTAGGCTAAACCTACTGACCTGTTGTTTCAGACTGACTGAGGGTTTAGGCTAAACCTACTGACCCGTTGTTTCAGATTGACTGAGGGTTTAGGCTAAACCTACTGACCCGTTGTTTCAGATTGACTGAGGGTTTAGGCTAAACCTACTGACCCGTTGTTTCAGACTGACTGAGGGTTTAGGCTAAACCTACTGACCCGTTGTTTCAGATTGACTGAGGGTTTAGGCTAAACCTACTGACCTGTTGTTTCAGTAAGGCGTATAACCACAAAGAGAACAAGCTACAACATGAACCTCTGCTTTAACACATGCCTATCTATCACTACTGCACTCTATTCTGTCACATAGCGCTGTGATGTAGTGAGGGCATGACTTGATATATAGACATTAAACTGTCAAGTCATCCTGACTGTGGTGCCGCGGCCTCGCTGAGTGTTGGCTCACAACAAACCATCACTGCACTGTGCTTCTGGGACAGTAATGGGATATGGGCTCCTTTTAAAAACGTTTCAAGATACAACTTTTTATGGACAGCTTTAGAGGAGGGAAATAATTTAATATATATATTATTATATTTTTTTTTTGGGGGGGGGGGTAGATCAGCTTTAATATTGCAGATAGATTGTAATTGTCTGCATCACTTTTTTCCCCACTGTACATACTATATACATTTTATGGACACAGTCAATTTTACAATAATTCTATTTTGTTTGTTTTTACTCCTGAACTTCCTCTACCCTCAACCTCTCAGATCATTTTCATGATGTCCATCCGGTTTGCTTCTATATGCCATATCTTTCTAACTGTGCTCTTTCACAAAAGCTCTCAACCTATAACCTATATCCTTATTATGGACACAGTATGCTTTACATTAGTTATCTTGTTGTTATTAATAATGTAATACTTACCAGAAAGTAGGATATGAAATTCATTCACTTATATTCTCACAATATTCTGTTGATCATCATTTGTAGCTTGCACTCATAACTCTCAGCCATGGATTTATATGGTGTGTGTGTGGTGTGTGTGTGTGTATGTATGTATGTAACTGATTATCTCTCTCTGTGGTTTAGATTTGTCACTAGAGAGGAGAGTGTGGAATGTTAGTGCTGTTTGAAAGTGTTGTGGTGTTCTGGGGGTTCCGTGCTAAGGTTCCAAACACTCCAGACTCTCCGGGGAAACAAGGTTCAAATGTATCAAGTTCAGCTGCTGCCAGGGCCTCCCTGGGTCTCCCCCTCCTCTACCTCCCCCGAGTCTCCCCCTGGAACCCCCTACAGTCTCCCCCGTCTCCCCTTGCTTCCCCTCTCACCCCTTCCCTTCCCTCCACACATGCTGTTGGCATTAAGCACACACGTTGTCTCGTGTGTTCCTGCTTCGCCACAAATGCAAGCAGGGCCTACTGCCGTCCGCTGTGCTTAAAGTGTGTCTCTGGATCGTAGTAAATCGTTCCTCACATTACTTTAACAAGTGGAGAGTTTGCTGCTGTGCCACACTGATGTTACTGTAGCTGATTCCACTCATCACCAGTGTTCATGCCACTCTGACTCGGTCTGCATCCCAAATGGCATCCTATTCTCCCTGGTCAAAAGAAGTGCACTATATAGGGAATTGGGTGCCATTTGGGATGTAGACTGGGTCTGTTCCAGAACTGGGTACAAGTACTATTTAAAATAATTTAAAATACTCCATCTGGGCTTGATTGAGCATGCCTGGCTTAATGGACCAATATAATCGTCCTAAAACTATAAACCCTGCCCACCTGGCACTCTAGGCAGGCTAGAACAAACACTCAAAGTAGATTTTAAAGATTTTAAATAGTACGCTTTCTCTTTATACAGCCAAGCAAAAGGGCAGGAGAGGTGATCGTCTTGGTATGTTTGGGATAGGACTCCCTACAGATGTAGGATCTTAATTTGATCACCCTGTTGAAGGAGAACATTCCTGCAATGCAGGACATTTAAAACTTGTAGTGTATTTTAGGTTTGAAAAGGCTTCTGAAGTTTGTAATTTCACTTTGAAAGTTCAGACTTGGTTTTCCCTTATGAAAAGTGTATCAACCCCTACAAAAATGTCCATGAATTATATTCAACATAATAATTACTGTTATTTCCCTGCTATAGCAAATTGGCTCAAATTAAGCTCCTACATCTGTACAAGTTATATGTCTTCCCTATACTTATACTGTATTCCTAGCTAGCTCTCTCCTCTCCTCTATGTCCCAGGCAGTCTTTTCTATGGCCTACAGTTGAAGTCGGAAGTTTACATACACTTAGGTTAGAGTCATTAAAACTCGTTTTTCACCCACTCCACAAATTTCTTGTTAACAAATTATAGTTTTGGCAAGTCGGTTAGGACATCTACTTTGTGCATGACACAACTAATTTTTCCAACAATTGTTTACAGATAGATTATTTCACTTATAATTCACTGTATCAAAATTCCAGTGGGTCAGAAGTTTACATACACTAAGTTGACTGTGACTTTAAACAGCTTGGAAAATTCCCGAAAATGATGTCATGGCTTTAGAAGCTTCTGATAGGCGAATTGACATCATTTGAGTCAATTGGAGGTCTACCTGTGGATGTATTTCAAGGCATACCTTCAAACTCAGTGACTCTTTGCTTGACATCATGGGAAAATCAAAAGAAATCAGCCAAGACCTCAGAAAAAAAATGGTAGACCTCCACAAGTCTGGTTCATCCTTGGGAGCAATTTCCAAACGCCTGAAGGTACCACGTTAATCTGTACAAACAATAGTACGCAAGTATAAACACCATGGGACCACGCAGCCGTCATACCGCTCAGGAAGGAGACGCGTTCTGTCTCCTAGAGATGAACGTACTTTGGTGCGAAAAGTGCAAATAAATCCCAGAACAACAGCAAAGGACCTTGTGAAGATGCTGGAGGAAACAGGTACAAAAGTATCTATATCCACAGTAAAACGAGTCCTATATCGACATAACCTGAAAGGCCGCTCAGCAAGGAAGAAGCCACTGCTCCACGGGGGTGGCAGCATCATGCTGTGTGGGTGCTTTGCTGCAGGAGGGACTGGTGCACTTCACAAAATAGATGGCATCATGAGGAAGGAAAATTATGTGGATATATTGAAGCAACATCTCAAGACATCAGTCAGGAAGTTAAGGCTTGGTTGCAAATGGGTCTTCCAAATGGACAATGGCGGTTTTGGAGCAGTGGCTTCTTCCTTGCTGAACGGCCTTTCAGGTTATGTCGATATAGGACTCGTTTTACTGTGGATATAGATTTCAAGCCCGAAATGTGACGTAAAACTGCAAAGTAAATATCTATGCCACATGGCAAAATGAGTAGAATTGCAAGAATTGAACTTTAAAACAAATGATTTTCTCTCTGCCATAAAGAGGGGGGCCACTAAAATGTTTTTCCGTGAGGTGGGGGGCCCACACAACTAGGGCTGTGGTGGTCAGGAAATGTTGTCAGCCGGTGATTGTCAAGCAAATTTACATTATTTAACTTAAACACATTTAGCATCTCCTGGCTTCTACGCATAGCCTACAAGCTTTGAAAAAGTGTAATAAATCCATTTAATATAGCCTACACCATCCCAATAAATCCATTATTTATTTTAGACAGGTCTAAAGAAACATGATATGAAGAAAATGTAGTCTATTTCAGAAGAACAGAATAGCATACTCTGAGTTGTCCTTATGTTAGGCCCTGATCTGGCTATGCCATATGGCTGTGGGCTACACTAGTTCATTAAGCAGACAATATTTGCTTAGAATTCCATGGCATTATTTTATAAAATTAATAGTATGAAGAATACAATTGAACATAGCTGAATAAAATAGAAAGGATATTTTCTCCTAACGATTTGAGGGAGTGTGCACATGCGGCTATTCTGTGTTGGACAGTTAACAAAGAAACAGGTCCTCATATATGCTTAATTTAGAGTTATTTATGCAACTTTAGTTGTGATACAAACGTTGGGCTATATGTTTTGTTTTTTAATACATTCTAAGCCTGTATGATGTGACTAATGATGATATGAAAAAAGTTGCATCAAAGGCATGAGCTCTGCTTAGTTATTTGCGCAGGCTACACACACTTCATCAGTCTCTCAT